TCTTTAGATTCATTCTTTCATTTAATTTATTTATTCATTTATTCCCATATTAATTTTCCTTCCTCCCATCCCTTCTCCCTCCCATCCATCCATCCATCCATCCATTATTGAAGGAACAAGTATCCTCCCTCATCTTCTTTCCTGTGACTGTGGGGCAGCGAGCTTCTCTCCCCTAACATTCTGTGTTCTCTCTTTCTGTGGGGGGAAAGGCTGGAGGGGGCATGCCCCATGTGGGGTAAGGGGCTGGCTTATCTTGGGATAAGGGGCTGAGGGGCTGGGCCAGAAGCAGCATAATCAGAAAGCCTCAGTCCATGCCCTGTTACAATCACTGATTTCCTTTGAGACCCTCTGGGCCTCAGTTTCCCTCATCTGTAATATGAAGGGTTTGACTTGGTCCTCTCTTTGACCCTGTGGCTCAGGTTGCCTATATTATTTTGGAGTTTCTCAGGAACTTCCCAGGAATGAGACAGGACACAGGGGGATGCCAGTTGAGTGGGGCCTATTCTGTGCCTTTGAGAGTGTCTCAGCACCTGCACCCAGCCTGTACTGCAGTCAGCACCTCCCCGGCTCTCATAGGCTGGGCTCTGAGGTCTGGGCTGGAGTAAGAAGGAACACGAGTGATATTTTGGGAGGATGAGTCAGCCCAAGTGTCAGTCTAGAAACGGGCCAGCTTGGCTCCACTGTTCTACTTCTCCGTGTGGGGGTGTGTGGCATGTGGAAGGAAGGGAGAACTCCAGCCTTTCTCCTCAGCCTGGGGTGGGACCCAGGATACAGGGCATCTAGCCTCCAGGATGACCTAGAGGGCATCCAGTGCCTGATACCCTTGTTTCATAATGAAAGAAGCCCAGGGAAGACAGGGACTTGCCAGAAGTCACACAGTAAAGTTGATGACAGGCTCAGGACTGGGACCAACCCCGTTGCCTCCTTGTCTTGAACCCTTGGTCTGGTCACGTGCTAATCATCAGTAAATTGGACTTGCTTTATCCTGAGAGGTGGGAACACAAGGCCTAGCCTGGGCCTTCACCCCCACAGGGTCTCCACCAGGAGTGACTTGCCCCACCTACTGCCTGTGAGGTAACCTCTCCTTGTGGCTAGGACAGTGCTGTTTTTTTTTTTTTTTTTAATTTTAAATGTTTATTTATTTCTGAGAGAGAGAGAGAGAGAGAGAGAGAGAGAGAGAGAGAGAGAGAAAGACATAGAGTGCAAGCAGGGGAGGGGCAGAGAGAGAGGGAGACACAGGATCCAAAGCAGGCTCCAGGCTGTGTGCTGTCACCTAAGCAGAGGTTGATGCTCAACCAACCAAGCCACCCAGATGCCCCAGTGCTGGTTTTTAATGGGGCAGTACTGGTCAAGGGGTGGCTCCAGATCCCCCTTCCCCTCTTCCATATAATGTATGGTGCTCAGACTCTGGTCTGTAGCCTGGAGGTAACATTCCCAATGTCTGCTCCTGGGAAAAGCAGTGAATGTTGCAGGGAAAGGGAGCTCCATGTCACTAACTGTCCCCTGTCTTCCACATCACCAGGGTTCATGTCACTTCCATCACATGACTGAGGGTCTACTGGGCACTCTGGCTGGGGCTAGCGTCTAGGGAGCTCACAGCCTAGGGTGCGTGTGGAGCTGGCTGGGGGCAGGGGCAGGTGGACGATCGCAGCTCAGTGTGCTGAGTGGAGTCGTGACAGGTCCATGCAGGGGCTGGAGAAGCAGGGGAGATCCTGGGGGTGTCAAGGAGGGCTCCTCAAAGGGGAATGGGACTCGGCCAGAGGCAACATGTATATGTGTAGGGTTAGGAGAGAGGCTTTTTCTCAGTTGTGTATTTAGATGCTTATTTGCATATTTTAATCAGACCTCCAGATATTTTGCAATGGGAAGTGTGTTCAGGGTATCTGGGCTTTTACATTGCTGGGAATAGAAGAAGTTTAATTTATTAAGGGCCAGGAGGACTCTCAGTGACATTTTCATTGAGGAAATAGGGTCAAAATGTAATCGTCCATTCACCAAATCATGTGTTGAAAGTTTTAGGATATCAGTTTTTGAGATCTTGAGCTGCTTGCTGGGTAGACAAGGGCTGTCCTCTGTGGCTGTGGAGGGGACTACTTATCTGCTCTGTACAAGAGCCCTTTTCCCAGCTTGTGATTGCGCACAGTCCGTCAGTCCATTTAATTCATTCATTTCAAGTATTTATTCAATGCCTTCTAGGGTGGGCTGAGCCTCATGCCCTGTGTCGAGTGTAGGGAGACAATCACTCATGGTCCTTGTGTTCGGGAAACTCACAAAACGGTGGGGGACACCCCTATGGAGTCATAAGCTCACCAGAGACTCAGTGAGATGACAGGAAACATAGGGAGCGGCCGGAGACAGCCTCCTGCTCAAATTGGGTGGTTGGAGGGGTTCACACGGGGGAAGCTCTGGGGCTGACTGGTCATTCTGGGCACCTGGACCACCCCTGGGCTTGAAAGGATTAGTGATAGGACTGCAGAAACGTAGCCGGCTGCCTGTCAGGAGCCGTGACCTTCCAGTGAGGGGCACAGCCAGCCCAGCACGACTGCGTAGGGCCGAAGCAGGGGGAATAGGACCCTGGCGCCCCCTCCCATCTCCCACTGGCCAAACCCAAGGGAGTCAGAAGGCAGGGAGCCTGGAGTGACGGGGGAGAGAGGAACCTAGGGGAGTGGGAGATATCCTGCACACAGACTTGCTGCAGGAGGGGAAGCTTCTCCCAGGAAGGGTGCTGGAACTCTTTAGCAGTTTCCTGGTCCTTATGGAAAAAGTCCTGCACACCGGGCAGCTGAGAAGAGTGACAATTTATTGGCTCATCGTGCTGGAGCCCAGAAGTCCAAAATCAAGCTGTTGGCAGGGCCAGGTCCCTCCTGAAGGTGCTGGGGAAGGATGTTCCAGGCTCGCTTCCGGCTTTTGGTAGTTGGTTGGTTGTGGCAGCCTAACTCCAAACTTCCCATGGCATTCTCCCTGTGTGTGTGTGTGTGTGTGTGTGTGTGTGTGTGTGTGTGTGCATGCATGCATGCCTGCGAGCATGTGTGTATATACACATGTGTGTGCATGTGTGTATGTGCTCCTGCATGCATGTGTGTATATATACGCGTGTGCATGCATGTGTGTATGCGTGTGTATATGTGTGTATGCACATGTGTATGTGTGTGAGTGTGTGCATACATGTGTGTATGTGTGTGTGCACATGTGTGGGCACCTGTGTGGGCATGTGTGTGCTATGCAGGGGGAGCTATTAAACAGAACTAAGAGTCCTGACAGCCACGTGTTTGGGGATCTTTCAGGTGGCTTAGATGACGTTGAGATCTGGGGTCTCCTCCCTCACCCCCTTCACCTGTGCCCCGTAGGTTCCCACCCCTGGAACTCCTCTGCCTGTGCCCTGGAGACTCTTCTATCAGGAGTCCATCCAGGCTTTGTGGGGCTTGGTGCTTAAACAATTTGGGAGCTTCATTAAGAAAGAAGGCAAAATTAGATCTGAAAGTATTTATTAAGGATGATAAAAGAAATCACAACAAAGTACTGGGGCAGGGGATTCAAGTCCCTTTCTTCTGGGATCTCTTCAGACGAGTGACCAGAAAGCTTCCACAGGGCAGCCTGCCACCATGCCTCCACTCGCCCATCGGGGCAACTCTCCTGGCTCCTAGGGTCCCAGGCTGGGAGTCCAGCAGCTTCAGTAGCTCCCACCCCTGCTGGCGCCTGGCCAGCTCCTTACCCTTTGGCTTCAGGTTGACACCACATCTCATGGCCCCCAGGCTCACTCTCATCATATGGTCATAGTAACCGTGAGTGTGTGACTCACCGAGTGCCTGTTCCTTGCCAACCAGTGCGAGTGCTTTCCGAGGGTCAAACACACCAGGAGGGCAGAGCTGTGCTCCTCCCTGCTTGGCACGTGGGGAAACTGGGGCTCTGAGAGCTTGTTTCTTGTCCAGGGTGACGCGGTGGCTGGGGTCAGATCCAGTCTGCCTCCAGGGCTCTGTTTCTCAAGGGCTGAGCCAACTGTACCTCCCTTATTATGGGTAATGTAGGCATGCAGTGGGGGTCTCTCTCCATCACTCGGCTCCCAAGGGCAAACCGTAGTCTCCCCTATTTCCAACATCTGGCAGAGAGCAGGGCGAAGCAGTCCTCAGGAGATACTTATGCTCAACTGTCCAGCGGGGTCAGGTTGGAGAGCAAGAGGCACAGGAAGAGACATGGTGGAAGGAAGACAGGATGGGGGCCAGGTTGGAGGAGCTTGTCGGAGGCGGTGCTAGGTGTGACCTTTTCCCAAGGACACTGGGAGCCACGAGGGGTGTCCAGCTGGGGTGTCCAATGGGGTGACCATTGGATCTGTATTTTGGAAGGTCTGACTCTCAGGCTGTGATGTGAGGATGGGTTTGCGGGGAGGCACCCACCTGCCCTCTCCAAACAGAGCTCAGGGACGTGGAGGCCAGGCTCGTCCCGTCCCCACCCTGTCTGGCATCGCCACTGAGATGATTCACTCTCACTTACAAGTTATGAAACATGGGCCAGGGCTTGCCTTGCTGGGCTTCAGTTTTCCCATCTGTAAATTCGGGTTTCTTCACACCTACCTCTCAGGGGGAATCCACTGCAAAGCACCCAGGAGCCTCTTCCTGCTGCTGGCTGCCACTGGTCCTGGTTGGGAGGAAGAACCTCCTTCCTGGGGCCTCTGCTAAAGGGAGCTCAGGAGCTCAGCTCACCATGCCAGCTTGCCCCCTGAGGGGCTGTGGATGGGAGCAGCCTCCCCGTGGAGCCCAGTGGGCCTGTGGGGTTCTGGCACGGGGCTGGTGCCTGCCATGGGGGATCTCCTCAGTGCTTCTGGGCTGGCCCTCCTGGGCCCCTCGTGAAGCGTGGTTAATGGAAGCTGCTCCTTCCAGGGCCTCAGGAGAGGCCCCCACGGGCCTGCCCTCAGTGGTGTCTCAGAGAAGAGGAAAGAACCCAGGAAAGTGCTAGAAAGGCCAGGAGAGGTTTCAATCAGTAAACCCCGGACACGTTTGATTCAGTCAGCAGGGCCTCCGGATGTGTGGACAGCCTCCCGCCAGCTCTCCTGCCCTGTGTTACGTACGCCTGCCTGTTTTCTCTGTAAAGACCCTCGGGGATCTGCCTAGAAAACATCTTGGGTGAGTGGCTCTTTGCAGGGCTGCGTGAAGTCAATGAAGCCTCTGGCTCCCTCTGCCCCCACCCTGTGCCCCTTGGATGGTGAGGGTTAGAAGTGGGTAGGGTGAGGGGAGGGAGCAATTTTCATTCAAGGTAGGGCAATGTGAGCCTGGTGTTTCCATCCAAGGGCAAGGGCCCAGTGAGGAAGCATGCATGGGCTACTCCAGTTCACATTTTCTGAAAGCTGGGGCAGTGAGATCTGGCTTGAAGAGGAGGCCACAGGCTTCCTGGTATGCGTGTGTTTCTGGGGAAGGGCGCTAACTGAGGTGGGGGGCCTATGATGGGCTGGACATAATCATAGTCTGTTACATGCCCATTGTGGCTACCCTATCAAGTCAGTATTGTTACCCCCATTTTATAGATGAGGAGACAGAAGGTGAGGAAGGTTACGGACTGGCCAGAGGTCACACAGCTGGAAGAAGCAGGATCAGGATTCACAGCCAGTTCTGCCTCTTGCCAAGGCCTGGATGCTCACACGACCTACCCTTCTGCGCCTAGAAATAGCTTGAGAGCTGAACCGGATTGGGCCCACAGGCCACTACAGCAAAACCAGGGGTTCCTTGCCAGCGGTGTCCCAGCCCCAAGCCTGCCATGCATTCCCCTGCTGTGGTCACTACCCATCGGGGCCCGGCTCTCTCTCCGGCAGCCCCCACAGGACAGGTTGGCCACTTGGGAGTGCCCAGTGCCCGGCTGGGCCCCAGGGGAAATGAGGCCAAGGGGAAATGTCTCCTGGCTCCTTCTCTCCCTCTTGCAGGAGCTGCGGGCTCCTTCAGAGCAGCGGTTGCTATGCAGCCTTGTTTGTTCAAGGAGAGCGTGGTAGAGGCCGGCAGCGCACCAGCAGCAGAGCCAGGGGCCTGTCCTCTAGCCTGGGGCTGGCCAGGCGTGGGGCCGCCTCATCCTTGCACCCCTGGACTCCTGGGCCGCATCGTCCGTGGAGAGACCACAGAGCCTGGGCTTCTTCAGTGACAGGGGTTGGCCTCTGCGTGGAAAGGTGAGGAGGGGATGTGCAGGGGAAGGGGGTGGGGGATGGGTCAGCCCACCAGGAGTCCTTGGAGGGGTGTTGAGGACCCGACCTGGAGCCAGGACAAAGGGCACCGATGGATAGAGGCTGTGGGACTGTGGGGGCAGTCCCTTCCTCTCTCTGGAGCCTGCTGCTCTCTGAGCCTGTGAGCCAAGAAACGGGCTGCCCTTTCCTGCTGGCCATGGCCGCTGGCAGAGCTCCCCGTTTGGGGGTAAGCCCCACTCCCTGGGGCTGCCGAGAGCGAAGGTGCCAGAGGGGTAAGGAAGGCTCTGTGTTAGGGGCCACCTCTCCAGGACAAAGGCCCACATTGGCTGGGGACCTTGAGGAGCACAAGAAGGGACTGTATGGCCAGTGCTCTGTGGGTGCAGTGCTAAGGGGGTCACAGAACACAGGGGCACCCAGTCCTACCAGCAGGGATGTGTAGGGCTGTAACCAAACCGGTCCTTTTTGTTTTTTAAAGTTTATTTATTCTGAGAGAGAGAGAGAGACTGTGTGTGTGAGTACACAAGCAGGGGAAGGGCAGAGAAAGAGGGAGAGAGAGAGAATCCCAAGCAGGCTCTGTACTGCAGAGCCCAAAGCGGGGCTTGATCTCATGAACCCTCAGATCATGACCTGAGCCAAAGTGAAGAGTCAGAGGCTTGGGGTGCCTGGGGGGCTCACTTGGTTGAGATCTGACTCTTGATTTCAGCTCAGGTCATGATCCCAGGACTGTGGGATCAAGCCCTCCTTGGGCTCCACACTGAGCGTGGAGCCTGCTTGGGAATCTCTCTCTTCCTCTGCCCCTCTCCCCTGCTTGTGCTGCCTCTCTCTTTAAAATGAAAAATAAAAATAAAAAAGGACCTACCTCAGGGTCGCCTGTTGTCCTCAGGGCCACCTCACAGGCACCTGACTCTGCTCACCTGCATGGATGCTTGGAAATTTATTGCTTGTTGCATACTCAACCTCTTGTCAACAGGAAGATGTATAAAACTCATGAATTGTTTAAGGTAGAATTATAGGGGAGGCAGCGTGGCTCAGTCAGTTGAGGGTCTGACTCTTGATTACGACTCAGGTCATGATCTCATGGTCGTAGGATTGAGCCCCGTGTTGGGCTCCGTGCTGAGTGTGGATCCTGCTTAGGATTCTCTCTCTCTCGTTCTCTACTCCTGCCCCACTCATGCTCTCTCTCTCTCTCTCTCTCTCTCTCTCAAAAAAAAAAAAAAAAAAAAAAAAAAAAAGAAAATGTTTTTTAAGTAGAATTTGTGAATGTGTAGCCACTACTGCCCAGGTCAGGAAATAGACGCCCACTTAGGCAGCCTCCCGAAGCCTCCCCCACAGGCCCCTTCCTTATGGAAGCCACCTCCCTTCCCCTTCTGCTAGGGTTAACTGTATTCTCATTTCCCCTGGCTTTTCCATAAAGTTTCACCATCTTTGTGTGCATGTCTAGGGTGTTTAATTTGGTCTTCTTTTGAACTTCATAGAAACAGAATGGCACCCTATGGAATCTTCTGTGCCTGGCTGGCTTCTTTCAGTAAACATGACACCGTGGGGCCACCCAGGGCGTTGAGGGGAGTAGTAGTTTGTTCGTTTTCATTGCCGTGGAATATTCCACGGCATGAATACCCATAACTCTTTTCTTCAGTTTCCTGTTGGGCATTGAGATTGTTTCCACATTTTGGCCATTGCCAAATCAGAGCTGCTGTGGACGTTCTCATACTTCTTTCTTGGTTCACACATGTGAGGTTTTCTCTAGGGCAGGTGCCGAGGAGCAGACTTGGCGGGGCATAGGGCTTGCACATCTTTAGTACCTAAGCCAGGCTGCTTCTCTCCATGCCCGTGCTCGTGTCCCCCTCGCCAGCTGTGCGTTGGAGCTCCGGCCACTCTTGGTCTCACCAACACTTGGTGTCGTCCATCCAGAAGCTTAGTTGTTGGCGATCTTGGCTGACTGACACAAGTGTTCTGACTGACTAGCACTTCTCTGGTCAGGATTTGGGACTTGCCTTGCCGCTTTCTTACTCCCCACTTTCCTCTCTCTGGGGGAGGCCCCTTTCCCCTGGTCTCCTTGCTCAGCATCGTGCTGTTTCCCAGCCTCCTCCGTTGTTCTCTCTGCTCTCCAGGCCCATCTGTCCCTAGACTAGACCGGGCTCCAGGGCAGCGATCTGGAAGTCTGATATTTCCACTGTGTCTGTGCTTCAAAACCTCTGGTTTTGGGCCCAACTTGCATCCCTTCTTGGGCCTTGGCTTTCCTTTCAGTAAAAAGGACAGAAGAACATGGCCCTCCACAGAAACCATCTCAGTTTCCCAGGCAAAAGCTGGCACACGTTCTGGAGAGGCACCTGTAAGATTCGAGCTTTTGGTCAAGCAGAGTCCTCTTTCTCCCGGGGCCGTTGGAAAAGGACAGAGCTGGTGGTCTGAAGCCTGCTGAGCTTCTTACGGGGAGACCTTTGTCAAGAGCCACTTCTTGGAATGTGACAGACATTTAGACACTGGGCATGGCCAACACAAGCTTGCCGAGATGCTGAGTGGAAGAGGTGTTTATTTCTTCTCAGCCCTTTCTGGTCCTCTCGTACCTGTAAGTGCTCACAGACTGTGGTTTGATGACTGGAGCTCCAACTACTGGGCAGGGGTCCCTGAGCCAGGAAACCTTGCAGAGAGCCTTCCTGGGGCAGTGGACCAGGCCACTTTGCATAAGACTTCAGCACTAGGATCAAGCTCTTGGACGACTCACACCTTGATGGGGGAGGCTTCAGGATGGGAGGGCAGAAGGTTCCAAGTCTCAGCCAGTGGCTGTGTAACTTCAGGCACGATTGACACGGTGGCACCCGGCCCCACCAGGAAACGTAGTCCTCCTCAGGAACCCCTTGTCCTGGCTCCGACCAGGCACCGCAGTCCGAGGCACTGCACCAACCATTTTGGGGAGGCCTCGGTGGGAGGGTGGAGGAGGAAGCTGAGGACCTTGTCAGCTGGTGGCCAGTGTGATGCCTGCAGGGATATGACCCCTGGGTAGGCTTAGGCTCTTGCCGGCCCTGGGTGTGTCATACAGCCCGACCCCACATTAACCCCTTATTTGCCAGCCAGGAGACTAGATTACCTTTGAGGTCACTTACAGCTCACAGTTTAGTGACAGAAGAAGCAGATGAAGGCACCCCTTGTCCACACAAGGTGAAGCTTCATTGAATTACTAGCATGTGTTCTGATCTCTAATTTATATTAGCATCAAGATGATACACAAAAGTGGGGCAGGCTCAGAAGGTTTTGAATTTTGTAAATTTATGGATATATTACACACCCTTTCCACTAGGGCCACCACTTGCACATACAGTGCCTTTGTGTGAGTTAGAAAAAGACATCTCTTTATCAAGACACTTTACTTCTATTTGTCAGAGAAGGGCAATAAATGTGCAAATTTGTGGTGACTGCAGTGTGAATGGGGTCCCCTTAATTGTGATGCCTTGTGAAGTGCCCAACCTGAACAACCACACAGGGCAGCCCTGCTTGTCCCCTACTGTCATTGTCTTCCAAACACAGCTTAAATAAAACTTTTTCTCACCCATAGGCTTTCCCATGTCTTCTAGACCAATGATTCATATCAGAATTCCTGGGAGGTGGGGGCTGTTTTGAATGTCACAGCCCTAGATATAAATGCAGCTCTCCCCTTCCACCCTCTGTTTCCCCTCATCCCCAACACACACAGTAAACTATTGGAAGGCAACATTCCTTAGCTGCATTAGCAATAAACATGGCTGAGAAGTTCTCTTGACCATGAAATCCACACTGTCCCAGAAAGTCATTAAGACACGGGCACTCAGTAGCTGCCTCCTTAACAGACTCTGTTCTGGTGAGAAGGGATCTCTTGGAGCATTTCCCAGCAAGGTGATAGATACTTGAGCTGCTCTTCTAAGTGTCCTGCCCCAGCCTGTCTGCTGCCTCCTGCTTACCCCAGAAAACTTATGTGATGAAGGACATCCACCAGGTGGCACCTCCATTTTGCCACCCAGCCTCAGCCAGGCCACCGTAGCTTCGTGCCCCAGAAACTTTCAAACAGGGCATTTTCCCCTCTTCTTGCGCATCTTAACACGCACACTAAAATAGTTATTAAACAATAGTATCAGTAGCCACTGTTTGTTGAATACTTGCTTAGGGGCCGGACAGTATGAAATGCTTTTCATATTTTATTGAATACTCTCAGTAACCTTGTGAGACAGGTGTTACTTTTTTCCTTTTGCAGTGAAACGGAAGCTCAGAGGGGTTAGTAATGTGTTGTATGTGAAGTCTTGTAACTAGCAGGGGAAGGAATCTAACACAGGGCTGTTGACTCCTGAGTGCGCGCTGTGAAATACCATGTTCTTCTGTCTCCAGGAGCAGAGATTGTCAGCCCTGAGGCCTTCACTTACCTCGATGCAACTACTTAACCTTTCTGAGCCTCCGTCTTCTTATGTACAAAACGAGGACAATAATATCTGCCTTGTTGCTCTGTTTCAAAAGTTAAATGGCGTGATATTTGCCAGCATCTAGCTCAGCGCCTGGTGCATAGCAACATGGAACTGAGAGATGTTAGTCTCCTTCCCTTGTTTCTCCTCAATGAGATTGTCTGTGAAGATGTGCTTTCATGTTGATTTCTCCATTCTTGCATGCTGCAAACGGTTATGGAGCTGTTATTGTGTGCCAGGAGCTGTGTTTGGCACTTTGTCTGCATTTCTTTACATTCCTGTGGGCCTGCTAGCTGATGCACCTGCTACTGTCTCGAGACAGAGGGTTACAGGAGTACTGACCCCCCTGATCCCATTACGGCAGGGAGGTGGCATCTGTAATCAGTGGGTTTAGCTTCAAAGCTGGTGAAGGGGCCCGGGGAAGGGGGCACTTATGGCGGACTGGGGGGGACACGTCATCTGTGAGCTGCCTTCCTGCTGGCCCACGTGCCAGTCACGTCTGGAGGCAGGAGCCTGAGTGGGAGCACTTGGGCACTCCTGGTGTGTCTGGTGGGTGCAGGGATCAGTCTCCTGGTTTTGGTGGAGATGGCTCCTGGGGCTACGAACCTCAGGGGTCAGATACTGTCATTTCTCTCCTCAAAAAGTCTTTTTTTAAAAAAAATGTTTATTTTATTTTTTGAGACAGAGAGAGACACAGCATGAGCAGGGAAGGGGCAGAGAGAGAGGGAGACACAGAATGTGAAGCAGGCTCCAGGCTCTGAGTGGTCCAGAGAGAGAGGGAGACACAGAATGTGAAGCAGGCTCCAGGCTCTGAGCGGTCAGCACAGAGCCTGGCGTGGGGCTCGAACTCACGAACCATGAGATCGTGACCTGAGCCGAAGTCGGACGCTTAACCGACTGAGCCACCCAGGCGCCCCTCTCCTAAAAGTCTTTAGAGTTCCCTTTACCGGCAGAGCACGCCCTGACTCTGGCAGAATGCTGCAGGTCCCCACATATCGGCCCTTATCTGCCTTCCCAGCCCCGGGCCCTCCTGCCAAATCCCACACTCACAGTCCGTTCCTCCATGTTTCGGCTCAGGCTGTCTTCTCGGCCTGGGAGGCCTTTTCCCTCCGCGTCTGAACCCTGCCTCCTTCCAGGCCCGACAAGGATGCAGCTTTCCTGTGGAGGGTGTCCAGGCGCCTAGTCAGACAGCACTGCTGGTCTCCCATGTGCCCGTCTCTGCCCGGGACCCACCCCTGGCGTCGTGGTGGGTGCGAATTCGCAGCACAGCATCCCAGGTGAGAACGGCGGGAGGGCCCGGCCAGGCTAGTTGGAGCCGCTGCCTCTATGGACACGTGTGTCTCCTCCACCTGAGGGGCACACGCGTCACCTGGGTCTGTCTTGTAAGGACAGAGGGCTGACCCATCATAAATATATTAAAACATTTTTTTTTAATATTTATTTCTTTTTTTGAGAGAGAATGTGAGTTGGGGGGTGGGTAGAGAGAGAGAAGGAGACAGAATCTGAAGCACGCTCCAGGCTCTGAGCTGTCAGCACAGAGTGCGACACGGGGCTCGAACTTACGAACGGTGAGATCATGACCTGAGCCGAAGTTGAACGCTTAACCTACTGAGCCACCCAGGCACCCCCGTCATAACTTTAAAGAGAGCTTATGGGCAGGGGAAGGGAAAGAAAGAGGTCACACCTGATGCTACTGACCATCTACCAGCAATGGTGCTGAATTACTTTTGCACATGACTTCCCTTAATCCTGACAGAACCTTTTGGTAGGACGGTTTTTCAGATGAAGAAACCAAAGCTCAGAGGAATTAGGGAACTTTCCCAAGTTAATATGAGAGGGGCAAGGGTCAGTTACCAAGTTAACCCAGCTGTGTCTTGCCTCAAGGCCAAAGATCTAGGTGTCCCAACGTGGGCTTTCAGGAGCATACTGGGTAGGGGTGTGGGCTGGGAGGGGTGCCTGTCTGAGGCCTCTCTGCAGAGAGAGAATGTTTCGGTGGGGGACAATTTGGGGTTCCAAACCTAGGTTTGTTCGCTCTGCCGTCTTTCCCTTACTCCCTTTCTCTACCCACCGGGACATTTGACACCACTGTTCCCATCCAGCATGTCTGAGGAGGTGAGAACTCTGACCTATCAGAACCTGTGTCTCTCAGAGGTCTCTAAAAGGAGGAATGGGTAGTGTCACAGCCACACGAAGGAAGCTGCTCGTGCAGTAGCCCCTGGAAGAGGGGGCAGGAGGGGCTGCATCTTAGGATCGGGGGCCCATCCCCTCCCGGGCCTCTCTGCTCTGACCCCTCCTCAGAGCCTCTGCCTTGCCCTCCTGTCTAAGTAAGTGCTCTTACTTAGCCTGGCTCTGCCCAGCTCCCTTGGGAGCAAAGTGGACGTGGAATGGGGCATGGATTCCCTGCAGGCTGTGCCAAGCACAGGGGTGATTGGGATTTTGTCCCTGGGGCTGACATTCTTTACTGGGCCAGTCTTTGCTTCGTTTCCTTTCCACTTGAAACCTGAGTCCCTTCTGCCACCTTTCTTCATTCCTGTGGTGCCAGTCACCATGGAACCTCTGTAGCCATAGCTTTAGTGGAAAGAGCAGACAACGTCCAGTTACCTTGGGCCACTCCATTCCATGAGGTGGAAAACTGAGATTGAGGGTGGAGGAGTCAGCCATCTTGGGCAATCCAGAGCCTCAGGGAGTGAGGACAGAATCCTGGTCCCCAGAACCCATTGGCTATTAGCCCTTTAGGTCAGGGGTTGGCTGTTCCAATAAGGAATAGTCACTCCTTGGTGCCCAGAACAGAACAGTGCAAGGTGCAAATGTGGGCTCAGTGAATTGTATCTTGGTCAGGGGCTAAGTACGGTCCAGGCTAAACCCCAAAGCTTTGTCTACATTTGAGCTGGAATTTCGGATCTTGGTTTTTACAGTTTGCAAATGGATTTTTGAGTTCCCACCAGGTCATGGGTCTACATGGTTTTCCCAGAGAGGGGCCACCCATTGTTCTCACATAAGACATAAGACATGGTTCTTTGTCCATATGCAGCTGTGGCTACCTCCCCTTGAGCAGGAGATCCTGCATGTAGATCCTGAGAGCCTAAGGGGTCATATGTGTGGATACAGGCAGGGGCAGGCCTACGAGGGGGTCTGCCTGCTGGGGTGCCCTGGCAAGCTATGACGTGGATGCAGGTTTCCTTTCTGTACTGCAGGTGTCCCTCTGGGCACAGAGTAATGTCGGCTGTCTAGGCCAATGGCCGTTCTGCCTGCTGAGGAGCTTGTGGCGAGTGGGGAGGGGACTGTCTGGTTCAGAAGGCCCTTTGCAGTAGAGCTGGCCACTGAAACTTTTCTCATCTGTAGTCTCAGGCAGCTCCAAATCTTTTCTTTAGCTTCTTAGTGAGTGATCCCTTTGGGGAAACTGAGGCAGCAATAACCACTTTGACAGCATAAGGTGAGAAACAGGGCTGAGATCCCCTTAGACAGTGAATCTGGGGGCACCAGGGTGGCTCAGTAGGTTGAGCTTCTGACTCTTGATTTCGTCTCAGGCCATGATCTCATGGTTTGTGAGTTCAAGCCCTGCATTGGGCTCTGCACTGACAGTGAGGAACCTGCTTGGGATTTTCTCTCTCTCTCTCTCTCTCTCTCTCTGCCCTTCACCTGTTCGCATGTGCTCTCCTCTCCCTCTCTCAAAATCAATAAACTTAAAAAAAAAAAAAAAAAGAAAGTGAATCTGAACTACAGCCCAGTGGTTCTCAATCCTGTTTGAACATCAAAATCACTCAGGAGTTAAGAAAAAGAAACCAAACAGATCCCTGTGGGCTGCTCCCTACAAGACTAATTCAGCAGGAGCCGGAGGTGGGGCCTTGGAATCTGTCATTTTATCAGTTCCCAGGCGATTCTGATTTGCAGCCAAGGTCGAGAACAAGGGCTGCAGCTAAATACCACTTTTCTGCTTATAATTCATGAAGAAAGCCTCTGCTCTGGTTAGATATGGCAGCAGGAGTCTGTGGGGCCTGCGGCTCTCACTGTCTCCAAAGCCTGGGCTCTAGCTTATTTGCTTTAATTCAGTTGTGGATGGTCTGTCCCCGTCTGGAACATTCCTGCCGGGCTTTGCTGGAAGCAGCCGCCTTGCCAGTCTCTTGAGTGTGCCTCTTTGCCGGCTGACTGGGGCAAGGGGCAGGGTGTTGAGACCAATGTCCACCACATTGCTTGGGAGAAATGCTGCACCTCACGTACATTCTCAGCTGTGTGTCACTACCTTGTGGCCAGATGCTTATCTTAGTAGTCAGCAGAGGTAGGTCAGGGAGTTGCGAGGAAAATGCTCCTCAGAGCTTGAGGACGTAAGCAATGAGACCAGGCAGAGGCTAGGCTGGAACCTCTGTTTGGGCCAGAAGCGTTGCTAGGAGCTGCCGTGCCCTCTGGGGCCTGAGTGGGGACGGTGGCAGGCTGGCTTCCAGACGGGAGGCTGGTTTTCTCACTTCCTGAGTTAGGATTTGCTGCTCAGCAAAAGGAAGCTGGCCCTGTATCTTACCCTGTTCCCAGATGATATCTCGAGGGAGTTACTCCAGAGTGCAGATTGGGACATGTGGCCTTTACCCCAGATTTTATCACTGATCAGCCCTGGCCATCCACCTCACTGCCTATCAGGGTAGAAATGGGTCGGTCACCTTTCGCTCAGCAAAGACTATAAACTTGTGTAAAGTGGCAGAGTCTCTGGTGAGACCCTTGTCCCATGGAAAGAGAATGAGGTTAGGTCAAGAGCAAGAGCTGACAACACCCCAGAGTTTGAGGGAGACCAGGAAGAGGCCTGAAGTAGTCAAGCAGTTGGCCACAGGACAATGAAATGACTCTCTGACAGAAGTTTGGCTTGGTCAGTGAGGTGAGATTGAGGGCCAAGAACTTCATGCAGATGGAGACTGGCACATCCTGAGAGAAAACTAGAGAGCTGGTTCTGGGAGACCCCGCCAGACGTCTGAGGGACGGGCAGAGTCATAAATCTCGACATTTGTCGTGAGGGCAGCTGGCGGAGAAAATGAGTTTTTGAAGAAAATAGAAACTAATGGAGAAAGAGAGCATCAGACTCTGCCTTGATAAATTCTACCTTCCCCAGAGACCCTAAGGTGTCCCTGTCAAAGCCACAAATGAATCCAGGTTAGTGGGTTTTGGTGACACTCTTCATAGCCAACTTTGGTCACAGTCTTGTGGCCTTGGCAGTTGGAATGTTGCAAGCGTCTAAGACAGTCAGAATGTCAGAAAAGAGGTGTCCTTTCGTTCAGCAGCAGATTTCTTCAGTATAAGAATATTTCAATTCCTGATGGGCTTCCTGCAAAGTGGTTTAAAAAGTGTGCTATTTGGGGGTACCTGGGTGGCTCAGTCTGATTCTTGACTTCAGCTCAGGTCATGATCTCACAGTTTGTGAGATCGAGCCCCAGATCAGGCTCTGCACTGACACCATGGAGCCTACTTGGAATTCTCACTCTCTCTCTCTCTCTCTCTCTCTCTCAAAATAAATAAATAACCATTTAAAAAAATGTTTGTAAAAATGTTTGTTACTTGTTCTCACTTCACTCAGCCGCTCCCTACCATAGGTCTCTGGATGTTACAAGCTGTGGACCTCTGGATCCCCAAGGACTGCGTTCACGGCCCAGGAAGTAGCGGCTGCCTCTGGACAACCTCCCAGGCACCTTCACTGATAGGGGCATGGGCACCCGTGATGCTGTCCCCCCAGGTACGGGGCTGCAGTCTGCCTGGGAGATGTAGCCAGGCAGGTGGCCATGCCTTCCTGCCCTTGCCCAAGGCTCTCTGCCGGCTGTGCTGGCTCTCCATACTCAGCTTCTTGTCTGGGGCCTCCCTAGCCTAGGGAAAGGCTCGGAGTATTCTAGAAACTTGTCTGGGCTTTGCCTCCACTCTGCTGGTGGGCTGGCTGAGGAGCTGACCTGTTTTGTGGAGGGAGCACATGGATGGCCAGAGGACATGTGGCTGGGCCTCAGGGTGTCTCTGTCTCCTCAGCTGACAGGGTAGGATAATGGGAACAGTGTGCCCAGCTCAGCGTCAAGAGATGGGGTTCCAGACCTACTGAATGAGCCTCAGTTTCCTTTGGAGGGTGAAGGGATCTATAGGTCCTGCCATGGGTGGAAGGGGTGCTGGTGAGGTGGAGAGCTGCTTTTCCCTCGGGAGGGGGGGGTTGGAACAGGGGCCCTGTGATGACTTGAGAGGAGTGTAGAGGACCCCAGAATGTCAGAGTAGTTCAGGAAATAGGTCATGACCTAGGGGCAGAGCACCCTGGGACTTTGCTATATTAATGAGAAAACAAATGCGTAATTTAGTGCCACTTTCAGATCCTGTCGGACATTAGATTCTCGTGGGGAAGTGGGAAGTACTGAAAACTTAAGAAAAACCTAGAAATCTAGAAATAGAATGAAGATGTGACTATGTGAACCCGTAGTCCTTTCTAACTCCTTTGTTTTACCAACCTGGGGACTGAGACTCAGGCTAACTTATTTCCTCAAGGTCACACAGCAGACAGAAACAGGAAGGGAACAGACGCCCGACTCCCGGTCCTGTGACCTTCCACCCTGGGGGTGGGTATGCTGGGTTGTGGTGGGTTAGGGCCCCCTGGATGGTCCTGAGATGTGCCTAGGAGGAGTCATGGAGGCATAGGACTAATGATTCAGTTTGCGGACATTTAAGCTCCTCCTGAGTGCAGGTCCTCGAAAGATGAATAGGACATGATCCCTGTGCCTGAGTGCGGCAGGGCTGGGAGGGGAGAGGCAAAGAGAGGGGAAGGTAAGATGGGGCATGCCTGGGCTACTGTGGGGGCACAGAGGGGAGGCAAGGCTTCTCAAAGTACTGGGTGCTCAGTTGAGGCTCCCCCTCCTCGCTTCCTGCGTCTCTGCTCAGGGCCCCTCTCCTTGGGCTTCCAATCCCACACTGTCACTGCTTGTTACTCATTGTCTCCCCCACCTGCCTTCGGGCCTTGCCCAGGACTGTATCACCAGGGACTGGGGGACAGAGTCCCTGACAGACAGCGTTTGATGAATATCCGCAGTAGGGATCAATCAAATCAATTTGCTGAGTTGGGGAGGTTTAGGAGAAGATGCAGGGTCAGTGCAGGATGAGGTGCTGGAGGACTCCCAGGGGAGGGTTGTTGAGCAGGTAATTGGATGCTCTGCCCTGCCACTGTGGGGAGAGGTCAGGGCCAAAGCCACAGGTCAGGGGGTTACCACATGAGGGTGACAATTGAAGGCGTGGCACTGAGGAGCGGCTCATGAAAGCAGCCAGTGTGAGATGTGCAGTGGACAGAGGCAGGGCAGGGGTGTGGAGGAGGGGAGCCCTGAAGGAGACTAAGAAGGTATGGAGTGGTTGGGTGGGGCTGGGGAGCTGGAGCAAAGCTGGATGGAGAACACAGGTGAGTGTGAGAAGTGGGGATCCAGGGCTGGGAAGAGTGGGGTGGTGGGCTTTGGTGGGGATCGTGGTACCGCGGCCGGCTGGGGGTGGGGTGGCGGGCCCCCCTTTGTGGACCAGGCTCTGGTTTGGGGGAAGGGCCACAGAGACCCCCAGGGGCAGAGTGCTCCAACAGTCTGTTCCCCAGTCCTGGACTCGGTGCACGCTAAGGTGACGCTCTTCCCATGCTTCTGTCCCCAGCCAAGGTTCTGGCCCCCGTGGCCATGTACCTTGGGAGTGTCCCTCGGACCGGTGCCGGGCCCCGCGCGCTTCCGGGCGGAAGCAGTGACTCCAGGCTTCAGACTTATGGAGAAGGTGAGGTTGGGGGACTTGGCCTGCTGACTCGGTCACACCAGATGGCCTTCCAGTGCCCTGAGTGGCCTCTCTGGGGACTTGGGGCAGAGAACTGGAGTTCCACCAGCAGCTGCCTGATGAGGACCAGTGACCAGAGAGCAGGGCATGGGCCTCATCCTGGAGAGAGGACAGGAGTTTGTTTGGATGTCTGGCTGTGTCCTCCAGCTACTGGCAGAGGCTGTCTTTACTGTGGTCCCTGCTGCAGATGCCCCTTGGCTTTAGGTGGATCCTTTAATTCTGTGCTTCCGAGGATGAGGTGCACAGAGAGGGGTTCACAGGAACAAGGACGTGGGGATCTCAGCATGTCCCTCACTCTCCTCAGGACCCAAGGAGAATCCATGTGCCCCGGAAAGACCAGGTCCGCTGTCCCCTGGGTGGGCATTCAGCATGCAGGGCGGTGGTGGGGAGGTGGACACCTCTAGAGGGACAGAAGCTGGAGCGGTGATTTTCAGGACACTCATTCAGATTCCTGGCCACTTTCTGCTCTAACTTCCAGCTGCAGACCCCCCTTCTCTGCAGAGCTCCAGTCCCAGGGTTCTAGATGGAAAGCTAGCTTGTTCCGGTTACCTGCCCTCTTTCAGGCTAGTCCCCTCACACGCCTGTGGCTGGCACCGACTTCAGCTTTTGCTGGGTCTGGTGCTGTCCAGTATCTGTGGCTTCTTCTGTGGGTCTCGTGGCTTATGTCAAGGCACTCCAAAAAATTGTTCTGTGTGGGGCAGAGATTCCAAAAGCTGGTCTCTGTTTGTTCTCCCTGTCCCTTCCACGGTCTAAGCTCCTTCAGGGCCCAGTTCAGACATCACCACTTCGTGAAGGTTTTCCAGATCCCTCTCCTCCTCCTCTACATGCACAAAGCATTTTATTGATACCACCCTAATGGCACATATCACATTTTACCTTGTAATGAACCCATTTAGGGACAAATCTTATTTCTGTAATGGATTGCAAGTCTTTCAGTGATAAAGCTGTGCCTCACACATCTCTGTGCCTCCACTGACTGGACAGTGCTTGGCAAATACTAGACGCTCGCTGAGTGTTTGTTGGGTGAGTCGTTGGATAACCTGGAGTCTGCACGGAAGCACGATCTGTCCTGAGTCACCTCAACTTCTCTTTTCAATCTGCATTTGGTATCGTCAGGTATATCGAGTGTATTGGTTGGGATCCTGGAGATTGCCGGATGGTGGTCCCTGGGCAGAAGGCCAACCCTAAGTATTTGTGGCCTCACATCTGTGCTGTGAAAGGGCTGTGTAGCGAGTCCCCTTTTCTTCTCTCGAGTAGCTCATGACCCAGGTCTTCACAGGTACTGTTGGATGAACGAACTGACCCAAGGAGTGACAGTAACATTGAATGATCGGGAGCACGGGACAAGTCCTGACTGTTCCAAGGAAGCAGAACCAAAGGTTTTGCTGGTGCCTGGTGCCACCTTGGGCTCTGTGTGCCAAGCCTCTCCTGCTTCTATCTCCCCCAGCGTCCCTCCAGCCAGCTCCGAGGGTCTTGCAAGAGGAGCCGTTGCAGCCCTTGAGTGGACAAGTGGATCCTGGCAACCTCAAGCTGGATGCCCCTCCAAAGGGATGGCAGGCCAGGAATGGCCACCCCAGGAACATTGCTGCCTTATCTCTGGGGCCCAACCACCCGGCACCCTTTTTGGAGTCTGAGGCCAACAGTGTGGCCCGGGACACCACCCAGATCAAGGACAAGCTCAAGAAAAGGAGGCTCTCAGAGGGCTTGGCATCATCTTCCCAAGGTGAGCCCCGGGCCCTGCCCACCTGCCACCCACCCACCCTGAGGCGAGGGACACCAGGCTACCTGGCCGTGAGGATCAGTAGGTATCTAGCTGGCAGCCAGGTTCTCTCCAAGCTGCTCAGGGTGAACCCACCAAGAGCCCTGTCAGCCATATACGGGGGAATGCCTGGGCCCTGCAGCGGTCTCCCAACTAACTTCCCCATTCTCTCCCTTGCCTCCTTCTAGTCTTCTCTCCAGAGGCATCCTTTTAATTAATTAATTAACTAATTTCCAAGTCATACAGCTTCTGGAATTGCCAGACCAGTGACTCTCTCCCTGAGAGGTCTGAAGTCTTTTTTCTAGACGTGTCATGTCTTTTCACAAAGGTCTAGTGGAGGAGAAAAAGAACAGGAGCTGTGCAATGTGCAGATAGGAAGTGATCTTGATTGATCAGGTCCCTCGGCAAGTGTGGCGGGACAGGGATCTCTGGTACCCTGAGTGGGGCTGGGGCTGCCCTCACCACTCTGAGTTGGGGCTGCATTGGCCTCTCTGCACCACTGCCCAGGTGGGGCCCAAGGTGGGCATGCTGGTGGTGACGTCCCCACCTGGGTTGTGACCCCTCCTCACCTCCCTCGCCGCACCAAACTGATGATAGGGCAGGGCGGAGCCAGGCTGGGCAGGGTTGCGGAGAAGATATTTTGACTTGGTTGTTTTGATGCAACCACTTTGGAACAAGGAGCTGGAACAAGATGGCCCTCGAAAGTTCAGTGCTAAGTATTTTCACCACCGCCAAAAAATTTGCAAAGACCATCCTGAGCTCCTTACTGTAGGGATGGCAGGGGGTGGGGCAAAGCGCAGTGAAGATGTCTGCCGGACGCATGAGGTACTAATAACAGAGCTGCAAGTGTGGTGGTCTGCTTTTAGACTAGGTCAGGGTGCCCCCTGTGTCAGAACAGCTACGCTTCCACATCATTAGCTGAAAAGGAAGGGGAAACAGAAGTAAGTTATGGGCCAGGTACTTTCTTGGCATTTTATGTAAGTTACGTCACTGAATGTTTGGACAACCCCGTGATGTGACTATTTTCATCTTACAGAAGAGCAAATGGGGAGTCAGAGATGTACCCAAGGTCATACCCGTCTAGCCAGGACGGGACTCCACTCTCCTCACCCCTAGTCTAGTACTGGTAGATTTCCCTTCCTGCCTAGCCTGCCTCTGAATTTTGTTTTATTAAAAAAAAAATGTTTATTTATGTATTTTGAGAGAGAGAGGGAGAGAGAGAGAGGGAGGGAGAACACATGCAAGCTGGGGAGGGGCAGAGAGAGCGAGAGAGAGGGGAGAGAGAGAATCCCAAGCAGGCTCCTCACTGTCAGCACAGAGCCCAAAGTTGGGCTTGAACTCACAAACTGTGAGATCATGACCTGAGCTGAAATCAAGAGTTGGACACTTAACTGACTGAGCCACCCAGGCACCCCTGCCTCTGAATTTTAAATAGGTGACTTGGGCCCTTTCTACCAAATTTCATAGGAGGGGGAGCAGGCCCTCCGCACCATCGGCTTGCTCGGCCCGGTGGCGGGGCGGTCCGGGTGGATCTCCTTCTGTCTGTCCCTGGCCTGGCCTTCCATCCCTGTTGCCAGTATCTGAACTGTCCCCCAGCCCGTGCTCCTGGGACTAACTTATTCCTCATCCTTATCCCACAGTCTCTCTGGATCCTTTGGGAGGCCCCAGAGGAGTTCCTCTAAGGAGCTTCATCCCCCGGGCCACCTCTCAGAGGCTGCTGAGGGTGCCCAAGCCGATGCCCCCCATCCAGAGCATCCCCACCACCCCTGAGGCTGGCGGAGCCAAGGAGAATGGCCTGGATCTGCCTGGGAGCAGCCAGGGTCCCCAGGAGCTGAGACCCGGAGCCCAGGAGGTGAGGTGATCCAACTGCTCTGAGTTTTACCTCTCGGTCCTTCTGCCTTTCTTTCCATTCTTTACTACCCCTGGTTCCTGAGCCTCTAGCTTCTCAGACGGTGTCTGAGGGGCCACCCTCAAGGATGGGGCTCTGGGTCCTCATTTCGTCTTTCCGGCAGCATCCCAAACCTTCATGGCCAGCCTGAGAGCTTTGGCTGGCTGCCCCAGAGCTGTGTGACCACCAGTCCTACGGTTGGTGGTCCCTAGGCCTTCTCTGGTCTATATGTTCCAGAATTCCTCATGCTTCTGACCCTCCCCATTATAGGCTGAGGGGCAAGAAGGCTGGGCTAAAATTCAGGAGACTTGGGCTCTGATTTCCACTCTGCCCCTCACGGGCTGTGTGACCTTGGGCCAGTCACCCTTCTCTCTGGGTCTGTTTTGCATATCTATAAAAAGGAGGTACTGGACCAGATGTTCTTGAAGACTGCTTTCAGCATTGATGTTCTAGGATTTCCTCAAATGACAAGAAGAGAAAAATAAATAACAAAAAGGAAGTAGGGATGAGGGGGACCCCTGGCCAGTCTCCTGTCTTGGAGTGGTAAGGAAGCGCTGAGCTTTCTGGGGAGTTCTAGGGGTGTGTGGCTGCAGAGAGAAACCAGAGGACACTTCCCAGCACTGCCTGCCACCCCACGTGGCTCCTGACAAAAGGGACCGCCCTGTATGAGGGGCCTGGGATGTGAGCATCCAGACCCTTTCCCCCAACCTCCATTCTCAGGTGCAGATCTCCAGGCACTACCTGCACTGCAAGGATGAGAAGATGCACAAGTCACTGGGGGGTCTTGTGATCCCGCCCATCCCAAAGGCCGGGGTGCCCGCTGGGACCCCCTCCGGTGCACCTGGCTCCCTTCCCCGCCTCCTGCCTCCAGGCCAGGATGTCCTCACGGGCCTGAAGGTCCCCCGCACACGGTAAGCTGCCCTAAGTCACAACTGCCTTGTAGTCCTCTCTCCAATCCCTCCAAGATCCGCTGAACCTCCACTCCAGCGCAGGTCTGGGGCACCCGGGGTGTGAAGGGCCTGGCTCTCCCATGAGCCACAGACCTGAGGAGGCCAAGGCGAGCTGGGTCGTCTGGGCTTAGGAGACAATGTCTCAGCCTCCGTCTTCCACCAGTTTCTTATCTGTGGCTGCTGTGGTGATGAATAAAATACAAGCTGTATTCATGGTAGCATATATTTTCTTCATTAACGGATGCTACAATTACAAGCTTTATCATGTGTGTGTGTATGGAAGCAGGAGGGAGAGGTCCACAAAATTTTAGATTTTACAAGGGGTCTTCAGACTCGAAAATGTTTGGGAACTGATGGGGTAGAGGGTTGCTGTGTTGTTAATGAGTCCACATTTATGGCTCATAAGTGGGACAGACGGATCTCTTCAGATGGCCTAGAACATCTCCATGGGCAGGTCAGACTAATGTCAGAGCAAGTGTGTGTGTGTGTGTGTGTGTGTGTGTGTGTGTGTGTGTGCGCATGCGCGTGCGCATGTGCACATGCGTGAGAGAGACAGATACAGTGGCAGAGACAGAGAGACAAGAGTGAGAGGGAGAAAGGCCTCATTTCCTGCATAGCTTTAGGGCATGCTGTACTGAATTTTCCCATTTCTCTCATGCGTCCTCACCTCTCCATCTCCTATGCTGCCTTCCCTTCTGTCTGTATACATGTCTGCCTCCTTCTCAACCCTGGAGGAGTGTGGGCCTGCTCCTGGATTGGAGCTCCATCAACCTCTACTTCCTCACATTAGGCCCCTCCTCCTTTCTGCTCAAACATCTACTCCTTCCTTCCCTCAAAGCCGTTCCTGGGGGCTGGAAGGACTTTCTAGCCCCAGACCAGTGACCTTTACTCCCATCTCATTGCTCTTGACTTCACATCACGTGGGGCGTTGATGTCCTTGGAGTCTTCTCCTTCCTTGCCTTCCTGACTTTGAAACCTGCTTCTTGACCTTCTGTGACAAGACCTTCCAGACAGTCTCCCCTGTGCTCTCCTTTGTCCGTCTCTTAAACATGGCCATTCCTGAAGCTTGTTCCTACCCCTTTGTACCCATCTCCTCGTTCTCCCCTGGGAGAGTCCTGTCTGTGCTGGCAGCTTCCAGGGATGGGTGTCTTCCTCATGCCCTGCTCGGCCTTGAGGTCTCCCTCGAGTCGAGCTCTGGATTTCCATCCTCCTGTTGGGCAACTCCAGTCTTGTCATGTCAGAGAGAGGGAGGCTGTGCCTCCGTCCCAACCACACAGATGGGGCACCTCATGTTTCCCCAAACTGCCTCCCTCCCATGACCTCCCGATGTCCACTGAGGTGCAGGCCTTCTCTTGCTTCTGCCTTTCTTCTCAGTTTTCACTCACTGGCTCCCTCTTGAGCTCCCTGACAGCTCTTAGCCTGGCTCCTGGCCCCCCTGGGCTCTGCATCCTAATCTATTCTCATCCACCGCCCTCTGTACCTTTCTTCCACACGATCCACATTTTTTGACTTCCTTTGCCAGCAGCCTAAAGTCGACTCTCCTTGGTCTGACATTCAAGCAGGCCCCCTGTGCTGCTCTGCAGGAACCTTCCCACCCCCAGACCCTCCAGAGCCCCGGGCGGCACCTCCCCAACCCTAACGCCAGCCTTTCACTCTGCTTTCAGAGCCTGCTGTCCTTTAATCCCCGGTTCCATGCCTCTCCTTGTGCTAGTCTTCCCTGCCCTCCTCCAGGAGGCGATGGGGGAAGGGCATCCTCTGTGCTGTCCACACAGCAACCAGCCCACAGACTGCCTGACCACATCCCCTCCACTGATTTGTTCAACTTTTATTTAAACCTCATACCTATTCTTTAACTTGGGGCACTACAGAGCAGAGGCCATATCCAGAAACCTCTGCAGCTTCCATGGTGCCAAGCTTGGTCCCTGGCGTGGATTATACACACACACAGATATTATAAATATCTGCTCATTTGCTGTCCAGTTATAGCATGGATTTTTCTCCATTAACTCTGTGAGGCTAGCAAATAGGTGGGAAGGAGCCTCCATTACCATTTCTTTCATTCATTTGCTTTTTCATCCATCCATCCATGCATTCATTTACTTAGCTAAGAGCTAGTAAGCACCTACTATGTGCCATGTGCTGTGGAAACAAAGCCAAACAAGACAGTCTCTGTGCTCTAGGAGCTCACGAGAGAGATTTACTAGTAACCTACTGAATCGAGGTCTAGTGAGGTAAGAATTAAGGTAGAAGGCTGCCCTTGGTTCTGGGGAGCCCAGTGGAAATTGATCTCGATTAGGCTAGGAAGCCTTCTTGGAGGAGGTGAGGCCTGAGCTGAGCTTTGAGGGCTGAAGGAGAGTTTGGGAGATGAAGAGGGAGAGATGGAGATGTTCACGGAACTGTCAGGGGTTTGCACGGCAGCACCGGTGTTTGTATGACACAGGCGGGTGAGGTTAGCAGGGTGGCGGGGCCCTGTGTGCGCAAGTGAGGACGGTGAGCTTTAGCCTGGAGAATGAGGTGCTGCTGAAGGCCTTTCGGTGTGGAAGTGCCATGAGATCTGAGTTAGAAAGGCCACTTTGACGACCACAGAGGGCGGTGCACACTGAGGCAGAGGCTGCTACGGGCAGTGCGGGGAGAAGCCGTGGGCGCCTGGCAGGGCAGAGGCAGTGGTCTGCGGTGTCTGGACCCAGCCTGGCCTGATGTGGTCTCCCGGTCAGCCTGCCCTTGACTTTGCAGATGGAGTTACGTCTCCTGCAGCTTTGAACTCCTAGCCAAGAGCCTCTTTACAGAGCCGCCCACAGCCCCTCTACTGTGTGCCCCGTCCCGCCCACTGCCCCATCCCGGGGCTACCGGACCCCTCACAGCAGGGGCTCCTTCTTGCCATCTCTCATAGTGTTTTTTCTTCCCCGTTCTTTTAAGATTGGTTCGGGAGAGTGGGCCTCGGGAGAAGACCCCTAAATCTCTGGGTATGTACCCCCCCCCCCTGCGCACTCCCACTTGCTATGTATTCAACTCCCTGCCTCCTGGACCGGGTGTGGGGGCAGAACTGGGGTTCGAGTAGGCCTGAGCATGCTCGGACCTGAACCCCTCATTTCATGGATGGAGAAGCTGAAGTCACTGGCGGTGCTGCTTTGGGGACCAGTGGCCCTGTGTTATGCCCGGCATGTGGACCCACACCAGCTCATGAGCCAGCTGAGAGGGAAAGTGCAGATCCTGTGTGACAGAGGAGTGCATGCTCCGAGACTCTGCAAGCTGGGTTTTGTCCTCAGTCTCCGCACGGAGGTCTCAGTCCCGGCTTATCTGCAAGCGGGTCCACATGGCTCCAAAGACGGAGCTTCTGACACGAGGGGCTGCCTCTGCACGGTTTTGAGCAAGTGGAGGAGAATACTCCTCACCAGACCGAGTGAGAAATTAAACCACATCCCGTGAACCCCTTAGTCAGCTGGCCCCAGAAGGTTTCAGCATCAGGGGAATATGGCCAACTGGGTGGCCAGTGAGAGGCCAAGGCGCAGAGAGGCTTCAGAAGAGGGAGCAGGAAGCTCTCCAGCCTCACTCTGTGACCTCACTCTGTGACCTCACTCTGTGGAGAGGAGGGAGGATGAGCCCTGGGCAGGTTGGGGGAGGGGATCCCCAAGCCCGGGGATGAGGGCTGGAGGCCACTGCTGTGCTGACCGGCAGGAGGGGGCAGACTCCTGGTCCAGCTTTCTGGCAGGCCACTCTGTATAGCTTAGCAGATGGGTCCACTGGCTAGGGGGAGGCTGTTGCCCAAGAAACCCCAGGGTCAGGACTCGAGCTGAGCCCGAGAGGCGGTCCTGGCATAGAAACTTCTGTGGTGGCTCTTTCCCCTGCTGCTCTCTGGCTGGGCTGCAGTGGGGTGACCTTGGGCAGTCTGCTGTGACAGCCACTGGCACCCACGGTGTCCCTCAACAACTACCCCTGAGGGTGCTGTCAGGGGGTTGGGCCAGGAGACCCCAGTTTGTAACCACTCCTTTGTCTGCATCGCAAGCTTGCTGCTTGAGAACCAGGTCCCCGGGGGCTTGGTAGCAGGGTCCAGGCTGCTCAGACAAGGCTTTTTAGGGCCTCTCTTGGAGGTGGAGGTGAGGAGAGGGGATGCCAAGTAGTAAAGTCCTTAAAGGGCCCTCTGACCCTCCAGTTGTCAGCTGGGGATAACATTGCCCAATATGTGTAACACGTCTACCACGTAGAAGGAGCTCGCATGGTATTGTATGAAGCTGAGGGCTTCCCAAATTTTGTGGCATTCCTGCAGTCCTTGCCCTGGTTAGCTGGTACCTGGACATCTGTGTCCTCTGCCCTGTCCTTTACTTTTGGACAAATGGAGGCTTCATCCCTCCTCCATCTTGGCCCTTGATCCTTCTCCTGGGACGCAGGCAGAGGGATCCTTGGTAGGAGGCATTGGCTGGGCAGAGGTCCAGGGTAACCTGGGAGCCCTCCTGGAGGCCCCAGATTCAAGACACCCCTTCCAGCCTCAGGTGGCCCCAGATATTTAAGGTCCCCTTATTTGCAGGTTCACCCAAGGACAGTGAGCTCCAACCTTTGTGAACAGGAGAACCCAGTTAACATTTCTTTCATTAAAAGAAAACTAATCCACCCCTGTCTTGCCTCCATCACAAGACAACATACTTTTGAAATTCATTGATTAGGAAAATCTAGATTAACAAAGAGATACTAGTGATTTGATGTCATTTGGAAATCAGTTTGTATTGTATCAATCACAAGAGCATCTGAAGGTTGCTGGGTCTCAGCTTTTCTGTCTGTAAAATGAGAGGACTGGACTAGTATTGTTGGTTCTCTGGTCTCTTCATGTTTTGTGATGAGGGCGCTCATTTTATTTTCTCTCTTCCTGAGGTGCACACCTCCCAGGTAAGGCAGACGTGCATTCTCAGGAAATATCTTAAACTTCTTAGACAACAGACCTGCCCCCTGTTTTCTGCCCACACTTCCTCCCTCCCTTCCCTGTCTTATAATAAGGTATACAGTAACTATTGGATGGATGGATGGATGGATGGATGGATGGATGGATGGATGGATGAAAGGAGGAGAACATTCTATGCCTGCCAGTGCTGTTCTGTAGAGTAAATTTAACCACAAGGAGGTACTGGGCAAAACAATGGAGAGAGGCAGTCTTAGGCAGTAAAATGTTACACCAACCACAGTGTCATAGGGCCCCAGGACAGCCCAAAGGGATGAATACTGCCTCAAGGTGCTGGGTGTCCTCAGCTGCACTCTTGTTCTTGACTCCTCAGAGCCAAAACATTCGGCTCCACCTGCCAGAGACAGGTCTGCTGCCCCCGAGAAGGCTGCCCTGCGTTCATCTCAGTCTGCTCCTATGATGACAACCTTCTCCTTCGGCCATGCCAAAGAAGCCCGCCTCTTGTTCAAAGAGGAAGACCAGAGGGAGAGCAGTACCAAGGTATCTGGAAAGTGAGGGGAGGAGAAAGTTGGGGTCAGAGTAGACCGCTGGATGAACACAAGCATGTTTCTGAAGTACATTAAAGTGGGGCCAGCTTGAGGAGGGCAAGGAAGAGCCCTGAGGCAGCTACCCTGGTACTTAAGGCTGGAACCTATAGATGGTTAGGGGATCAGGACCGAAGAAAGGGAGAGAAACAGGAGAGAGGAAGAGAAGGGTGGGGGGGGGTGGCTAAGTGAAAGGCAGAGTACAGTGGGGATCTGAGGCGTGAGATGGGGGAGGAAGGGAGGGCAGAAGGAGGTCACACATGGTTCGGAAGGAAGCAGGATGTGGAGAGTACAGAGGGTCTTAGGTGAACCAAGTTGAGTAATTCGAACCAACACCCAATATAGCAACTGAGAGGCCGCTGACTCAGAGGCAGATCAGCCAAAGGCTGTGCTTGACAGGCTGACAAATACCTTGCACTTCTAAGGTGACCTTGGTCTAGATGATTCTCTTCCCTGGTCTGGATGAATTTACTAAAACTTGAAGAGTCACTGTTATGGGAGATCCGTGCTCAGTCTTTGAAACAGAGATATAAAATACAAAAGGACTGCTGTGTGCATGAGCTATGTTAGGATCCTGTGATGATGATGATGATGGTAAGGTCCAGGTGCCACAGCTCTCCCACGCCAGCCAGGGCGCCAGGAATGAAATGAAGGCAAAATGATTCAGGGCCATGAGATGACCTCACCACCGACCCACCCTTGGCCACTCACACCCATGGTCAGACCTTGGGTCTCATGATAACTTCATCCCCATGGGCACCTCGCTTTCCAGTGTCCCCATCTCCTGTTGTTCTGGCTTTGTCCATCCACAACCCAGCCCCAGCATTGCTCCCTGCTCTTGCGTCAACAACATCCTCCTTGAAATGGGACCACTCCCATCAGCATCTTAGCTCTCTGTTATTTCTGTATTCTTCGGAAAACCAGACTACTCCCTTGCCTGCACCCATTCTTTCCTGAGTCCACTGCAGTTGGGTTTAGGCCCCACTGACACTGCTCATGCGCAGGCCACCAGTGACCTCCACCTCCCATGTGCAGCACAGTCCAGTCCTCCTCTAACCTGACCCACCAGTGGCTTTCATGGCTTGTCCTTCTTGAAGTCTTCACCTTGGAGGGGAAGCAAGGGGGTGGTTTCCTTCTTGATTCTCTGCCTCCATCAAATTTCATTCCTTCCTGGTTCTTCTTGGCTGGCTCCTTCTCATCCTCCTGCCCTCTATACACTGGAGGCCCCAGAGCCCTGACCTCTGGCCTCTGGTCTATTTATATTGACCCCCTGTGACCTGATCCAGAACAGGCATTAAGTGGCATCTATATGCTGAGGACTCCCAAATTTCTCTGTCTGGCCCAGACTTTCCCCTGACCTCCAGTAGCAGTTAAATTATATTACTAAGTGTGTATTCACTGATACTCTGCATTTCCATTTAGATATCTAATTATATTTCAAACTTACCTTATCCAAAACTCAACTGTTGAATCTTTACCACCCCCCTCCCCAAATCTCCTCTTCTCCCAGGGTCCCCTCTCAGCGAATGGCAGCCTTCCAGCTACAATGGCTGAAAATCTTGGGCCCATCCTTGCCTCTGCTCTTTCTCTGTCACCCCACACCTCATGTATCAGCCAAAGTGGTGGGCCCTACTTTTGGGACATGTCCAGAATCAGGCCACTTTGTCATCTTCATTCTTGCTGTGCCAGTGCAAACCCCACCACATGTAAACTCTTGGTTCTATTTTGCAACTTCTTGTGAGTCTTAAGTTGTTCCTAAATATAAAGTTAAAAAAAAATAGTAACACTTAGGGGAACCCCCTCACCCCCCAGTGGAAGTCAGATCATGTCACTTTTTGTGGTCAGAACCTCAGCGGTTTGCTGTGTCCTTCAGAGGACAAGTTCAACTCCCCACCAAGGACCATGGCGACTGGTGCACGCCTGCCACCTTCCACCCTGTGTCCTACCATCCTTTGATTGGGGTAGTCCAGCCAGTACCCTCACCCCAACCACACCCAGCACACTCCAGCCTCGGGGCCTTTGCACTCTATTCCCTCTGCTTAACACACTTCTCCCCTATTAATCTGCATGGCCCCTGTTCCCTTATCTCATTCCTGTCTCTGCTGAAATTTCACCTCCTCACGGAGTCCCTCTGGGTCTTCCTACTTAAAATGGAAGCCCTATCACCCTCTGTCCCTTATTCTCCTTCCGGTACATATCACCTGATGTTCGAGATTGTTCTGTTTGCTGTCTCCCCACTCCATGGCAGCCTTTAGGGAGCAAGGTCTTGGTGGTTGTGTTCATTCCCGGTACAGTGATGGCATACAGAAGCCACTCACATTCCCAATGATTGAATAAATGAAGGTACAGAAAACACAGTTGTGTCCTCAGGGTAATGGAGTTTGCCTTGACCTTGTGCCAGATCCAGGTCACCATCTCCAAGTCTGCCCAGGAGAAGATGCGGCTGAGGCAGATGAAGGAGTTGGAGTTCCAGAGGGCACAGGAGCCGGAGAGGGAGAGGGAGCTTGCTTCCCAGAGCCTGGGCTCCCGGAGATCCCTGATGAAGGAAGGTACTGTGTGCCTAGGGCAGGATTCCCCTCAGGCTGGGGAGACCTCTTGGCCAACCCCTGGGCAAGAGAGGGACTACCCACAGCTCCCCATGTCCCCCAACCTCACACCAGACAGGGGGCCATGGATGGGCCCGTGTCCAGAGGAGGACACTGGGGCCGAGGACAGGCGGGACCAGCTCCATCCTAGGACTTTCTTTGCCTCCACAGGCCTCCTTCCCCTCCGGGGCAGTGGAACCTTGTCTGTGCCCACTGGGCTGAGCATCCCACGCAGAAACATGGGTGTCACCCTCAGGAAGCGGGCCAACCGGGCCTCATTACCCAGCATCCCTGTCAGCAAGCAGGAGCCCAGCTTTGCCCGCCATGCTTCAGGTAGGGGCCAGACCGACTGGCTGGGGGGCACACGTCCCGCTCACTGTGCTGCCTCGGGATGCTCTGGGGGCACGACAAACGTGACCGGGACTGCTCTGCTTCTCCTCATTACCCACGTTAGAGTAGAGGGTGGCCTGAGGTGCAATCACCTTGCCAGAGAGAGAGGAATAGTGTGGGAGCCAGCCTGGAGACCCAGGGAATTGCAGCTGAATTACTGGGAGAAGGGCAGGTGTGTCCAGCCCACATGACTTGTCCTGGAGGGCTCACCAGTGCACCAGGACCACAGATCCTGTGGAAAGCACCCACGAGAGTAGCTGGAAACATCAGGAAGAGGAAGAGAGCGGTCTGTAAAGACCTTGGGTTCCTACACTTTGCCTCATGAAGTGTCAGTGTTGGATAGGGCTGGTTACAGCCTGCGATCTCAGGATCCAAAGGTTCTGTGGGATGCTCAGGAAGGTGCCAAGGGACAAAGGAGGCTCTGACCCCATTCTACCCGAGCAATACCTATTTTGCCTCACTTTTTTGTTTATTGCATAACCACTTGAGAGTTCAAGTTTGAAAGATTTTCTACTAAAGAACATTGGAAAACAACCAGCCTGGTTCACAGTTTCTTTAAGTGGGGAGTGTGGTGGGACCATGGTGGTAGAATAGAACACCTTTTTGGTGCCAGAAATAATATTGACTCACCCTTCTTTTCCATTCTCTTTCTATCCCTCTGATTCTGTCAAGCAGAAAGTCTAAATTCGGTGCTGGTCTTTAGCATGCCTCGCAGACTTGGAATCTCCTTTTTAAACAAAGAGATCTTCCTTCCAGCTGGAGGCATCAGAAACTGGCTATAATTTGATAGCTGGAGTTTATATCATCCTTTTACTTTTCTTGCAAATATCCTATTCTATGACAAAATAATATTTGTTTACCAATTACAGCAGTGACATAAATCTCCCTTTAGAATAAACTTATTTAAGATTCAAAAAGTGGGTCAGCTTGAAGAAACATGCCATATGAATAAAATTATAGGTAATTAAGAGATATGACAAATAATCGTGAAAGTGGTAATTGAATGGTTGACACTCAGGAGATATTGATCTAGATAATCCACTCCATTCATTTTACAGACAACAGGACTGAGACCCAGAGACCCAAAGTCCCCTAAGTTGACTTTAGGTGATGGTGGCCCATAGGGACTAAGATTTTGGCTAATGACTCTTATCCAACACCAAAGCTGAGAGGAGAATCCAGTCTCTGAAAAGTCTCTGAAAAGAAGTAGCAAGGAAGTGAGGTGTGGCAGTGACAGCTCTGGGTTCAGAGCAGACCCTCTTGTCATGGCTCCGTGGGGGGACTGTGGGGGAAGGGGCCCAACCTCTGAGGCCTCAGTGCTGTGATTCAGGCATTGGACCAGATAGATGACTAAACTGCCCTCCTGTTCCACTAGGATTGTGTGATTCTGGCCCCGTCCCCAAGGAAGGAGAGCCTAGAAAACATGACCCGATTTTTAAACAACATCCCTGCTTTTCGGCAGTCCCTGCCAGTGTGGCCACATCTTGACCACGCGGGCCCCAGTTAGCTGCGTTGTCTCGTCTCCCTGCTTCCTCCTTTGGACCACTTCCCTGCCTGTGGGCAAGTTCGCAGAGGATGGAGAGTGGGGGGGTGGGGGAGGAGGACAGACTGATAACACAGGTTCCTGGGTGGGGATGAGGTTAGAGCACGACCAGTGTGAGTAGGGGCTCCCTCCTTGACAGATGTATGAGCCTCACCCAACCACAGATAGGGTAGGATTGGGGGTGAGTCACTGGCATGATGTGCTTTGTCACATGACATCAACAGCATATCACAGGCCAGCTTGTTCAGAACCATCAGGTTAGCAGGGCCGGGACGGAAAAGGCCGACAAAAGGTAGAGTGCTGGGTGGTGTCCGTGGCCCCCCGGCGGTGAAGCACTGGCCCTGCCCTCTCGGCCCCCACCAGTCCCTTCTCTGAGCACACCTCGTGTGAGGGGGGCTTGGGACGCAGCCAGGCCTGGGTCCTCCTGCTGAAATGCTCCCTGTTCCTTCTCTTTTCTGTGAGTGCAGCCAACTCACTCCCTGCGGTGCTTGCCTTGGGGTCTCCCGAATGGGAAGAAGAGGAGGAGGAGATGGCTCTCAGAGCCTCTAAGGAGCTGAGGCCTTTCTCGAACCCTGAGCTGGGGCTGATGGGTGCCCTCCAGTGCCTCGAGAGCAGTGACTGGTGAGGAGACGCCTTCTCCCCCTACTGCAAGGGGAGGGGTGGTGGCAGGGGCGCCCCTGGTCTGCAGGGCTCCTCCCTACCTGCCTGTGACGAGGTCTGGAACTCGCTTCTCAGGCAGATGAAGGAGAAGGGCCTGGTGAGCATTCAGCGCCTGGCGGCCTGTCATTCAGATGTCCTTGCTGGGAGGCTGCACGACGTGTCCTTGGCTGTGACGGGGGAGGTGAGGCCACCTAGACAGCTGGGCACTGTCCCCACCCTGCAGCCACTCCCCCTTCCCTGGTGCCCCTGTTCAATGAGGGTCACATGGTAGCCACGGAGGGGCCGTGGCTCCCTCCCTGCTTATTTCTTAGCCCTCAGCCATGGAGGTGGGAGGTACCCGCCCATTTCTCAGAATGGAAAACTGGGGCCTGGGGTTTCCTTTGTTCTCATCGCTGGGTATTGTAATAATCGGAATCCTGTATGCCCATTTGCCACAGCCCTGTGTTGTTCTCTGTACTCAGATGCCTGAGCAGGGTTGGAGTGTTCTGGGCTAAATCTCCATCTTCAGGGAAGTTAACATTTCCCAAGGACTTTCTCCCCCTGGTACTGGTCCTGGGCCTAGGCTGGGCCTGGAGGAACAGTGGGGCTCCTTTTTGGGAATAGACTATTCCAGTGGTGAGGGCGGGGCAGCTTGTGAAGACCAAATTGAACATTATTTGTAAAGGTACTTTGCTGACTAAGTGTTGCCCAAATTTCAGATGTTCAAATTTCAAATTACAGGTGGAATTAATAATTATGGTGATAACAATAACAGTGTTTTTTTTAAGAAAATAGGGCTGTTTTGTCCAGAGCTGCTGCAAGGTTTTCGTTTCCAGCCTGGCAAGGCCTAGGCCTGCAATGAGGGTGGAGGTGGTGGGAGAGGGTGGTGCCGTGCCCTATTCTTCGTATGTTCTGGAGCCCTTGGCAGAGTCCAGCGGTCCTGGAGGGTCCCTCTCCCATCTTTCTCCTAGGTCACCAACCTCCGCTCCAAAGTGTCACGCCTGGCCATCAACACCCTGGGAGACCTCTTCCGGGCCTTGAAGAAGAACATGGACCAGGAGGCCGAGGAGATCACCCGCTGCCTGCTCCAGAAGATGGGGAATACCAGCGAGTTCATCCAGAGAGCGGCCAACCGGTCCCTGGGGGCCATGGTGGAGCATGTGACCCCTGCCCGCTCCCTGGGGGCCCTCACCTCAGCGGGCATCTAGTACGTGCTGGCTCGTTGTGGGAGGGGTGGGTTGGGAAGGAAAGGCGAGGGGAGAGGCCTGGGGATGGGAGGGGAGCAGGCAGATGGGACAGGTGCCTCACACATTTAGCTGGGGGAGGAAGACCCTGCTTCCTGGGGGGCTTCTCTCCCGCCCTTCCCGGGCCAGGCTGGGGATAATGAGGTGAGCTCAGGGCAGCCCTGGGCCTCAGCTGGAAGGGGAGAGCTGCTGTGTTCTGGGGAGATCATAGTGTCCGTGGTAATATCCTGGAGACAGGGCTGAGAGGCAGCCTGCAGCCTGTACCTCTCCCAGGAGAGGGGCATTCTTTCTGATGAAATCTGGGCTGTGAGGAGAGCAAGGCACAAAATGTTACTTCGGCTCACACCTCTTGGCATTTTCCTGGGCGGAGGAAGGTGCTTTCTACCATCGGAGGCTTTCTGCAGCCAGATTTGCTTTCACTTGTGGAACCAAAACTAAAGCAAAACCAAAACCATTTCCCAAAGCCTTTCTCTCAACCCCAGAGCCGGTCACGACGCTCCTGTAGGAGACTTCTCAGATAGACCCCAGGCTGTGTTGTAGCAGCCATTGCCTTTGGTAATGGCACCATAGCCCAGTACAGAGGGTAAGGGGCTCCAGAGCCGTGTCGCCTGCGTTCACATCCCAGATTGTTACTTAACTTCTCTGTGCCTTGGTTTCCTCATCTGTAAAATGGGGATAATAATGGTATATTCCTGGGGCGCCTGGGTGGCGCAGTCGGTTAAGCGTCCGACTTCAGCCAGGTCACGATCTCGCGGTCCGGGAGTTCGAGCCCCGCGTCAGGCTCTGGGCTGATGGCTCGGAGCCTGGAGCCTGTTTCCGATTCTGTGTCTCCCTCTCTCTCTGCCCCTCCCCCGTTCATGCTCTGTCTCTCTCTGTCCCAAAAAAATTAAAAAAAAAAAATAATGGTATATTCCTCATAAAACAGTGAGGAGTGGATGAATTGATTCATGAAGGAGCACTTAGAACACTGCCTGCCTTTACTAGAACATTTATTGAGTGCCCACTGGGGCTGTTATTAACTTGGGAGAAATTAATTGTACTTTTTTCTGGATTCTTCCCTTAGCCACAGCTTCCTCACAGGCAAAATGATGGTAACAGTGGCTTATGGAGTTGAACCGATAATAGATGGAAGGTGTTCAGCAGGGTGCCTGGCTCAGTGCATGCACTAACTACAAATTGAACCACCCTATCATTGTCGCAGGAACCAGGGTCAGGTGTCCTCGGGGCTGCACACTTGAATTCCCAGGGATCTCGCTAAAATGCAGATTCTGATTCAGATGCTAATGGAGCTGGTCCTTGGACCATAATGAGTAGGGAGAACCCAAAAGACCCCTTTGTGTTACACTGGGATGGGACCCTGGGGGAAATAGGGGTCAGTGCTGCCTAGTGAACTGTGGACACACAGGCCCCGTTGGAAAAGGTGGGAAAGAAACAAGTGGCACCCTGATGGGCTTCTCTTGTAAGATTTCAGGTTCCTCCTGTTGTGGTTACCAAGTCACCCATTGATCCCCTGTTCCACCCTCATGTCTCAATTCATTTCAACAAACGTGCAGTAAGCTCCCACCACGTGTGGGCATGTGCCGGGCACCAGCAGGGCACAGGATTCCACTGAGAGGAAGCTTGGGGCCAGCTCCCTGGGAGCTCCTAGCCTGGTGGGAGAGCCACAGGGGTGTACCTGTACTTCCCAGGGGACAAGGGGATAGTCTGCCTAGGGGGCTGGAGAGGGCAGAGATGGAGACGTTGATTGGGTAGGATCTTTCTAGGTGAAGAAAAGATGGGGAAGGCAAACATGGGCTCAGGAAGGCATAGGGGTGGTGAGCCTTCAAAAGACACACCAGTCCAGCTCTCCCCTCCCCTCTGCCAGCCTCCAGCACCTTTGGCAGGGACCGTGGAACAGCATCAGGTGGCTTCAGGTGCTCCTTCTTCCTTCTGTTGTTGCCATTGTCATCCTGGGTTCTATTGTCAGGACGTGGCTGCTCTTTCCTTGAAGATTCCCTATAGCCCGTAGGAGACAGATTTCAGAGCCCATCACAGCATGAAGCATGGGCGCACAGGTGTAGGTCCATGTGTGGCACTCTAGGGACCCCACATCCCATTTCTGTGTGAGCCCTTGACTGTGATTTTATTTCCTTTCAGCCACCGAAACCCCTTAGTCCGGAAATGCACTGCCGAGCACCTCTCAGCCGTCCTGGAGCAGATAGGCGCCGAGAAGCTTCTCTCAGGCACCAGGGACAGCACAGATACGCTGGTGCGCAACTTGGTGAGGCTGGCCCAGGACTCCAACCAGGACACCAGGTGATGCAGGGCCGGGGGCCTGGGGGCTGCTTACCTGGCCAGCCCAGGGCAGATAAGACAACCAGCCAGCCCTGAAGGCCCTGGCTCCCCATAGCTCAGCTTCCCTGGGGTCGGATAGACTGAAGCTGTTTGCTTTCCTCAGGGCTGCTGTCTGTCTCTGTGCACAGGCATAGCCAGGCCTGTAGGCCTGCCTCCGGTGTTCCCTCTCTCCTGCTGCCCTCCCTCTCCATCCTGACCCACCCCAGTCCCACTCTCAAAGACCACTGTTCATTCCTTCCAAGGATAGTGAACAGATCATTTTTCATTATTAGGAATAGGGCAATGAATAAGAAAAATTAGGCCTCTGCTGTCCTGGATCTCACCCCTAGTCTGGGTAGGCAGAAAATAAAGAAATTATGATTCTTCTAGATATGGATAAAGGATACAGAGGAAAAACGCCACGATGTAACGGAGAATGGGGTGGCAGCTACTTTGATTACAAATCTGGGGAGATCTTTCTGAAGGGTGACATTTGAGTTGAGAATGGTTGGGCCAACAGGAGCTAGCTCTTTGGGGGTCTGGGGTGCGAGTGTCCCAGGCAAAGGAAATGGTACAGAGGCCCCGTGTTAGAGGAAGAAGAAGGCTGGGCTGCAGGGTGCCTGGTGGGGGAGGGGGCAGTGGGCGGGAGATGAGGCGGACAGGACAGGGCCAGGCCTGGCAGCACCCCACGTGCCACGGCCAGGAGCTGGGATTTGGGCTGGTGTGTGACCGGAAGCCACAGGAGGATTTTTAGTAGGAGTGTGAGGAGATAATTCGATGGTGTTAAACAGGAGAGTGACAGAACCTGATTCACTGTCTTGGAGAGCTAGGGTTAGGGTCCAGTTAATCACACTCCTTGGTTCCTGGGTCTGGTCACCAGATCTGGAGACCACACCAGCTCGGGGACTGCTCCAGCCGTGTGCTGTGGTGTGCACCAGCCGGTGCCTTCACACCAGCAGTCCACGGGTGGGCCCTCCCCACTGCGACAGTGCCCCGCATCACATGCGCACATGGCTCGCTGATGGAGCAGAGAGCTGCTGGGAATGTGCCCTGGGGGCAGGACTGTGGTCAGGGGCATGTGTCCCCTGGCGCAGCCCGAGCACTACAGGGCGCCCGGGAGCACGCTGTGCCCCTCCGCCCCCCACCCATGGTGCCAGTGCCCACGTCCTCGCGACCTTGCATTATCTGGATTTCTAATTTTCATTGATCTGATGGGTAAAAATAACAGCTCATTATTGTGTCAGAGTCTCCTCCCCCACCCCGATTACTAGGGTTTATGTTTCTTTATAGGCTCACTGCCCTTTTGATTTTTAAAAATAGTCTTTCTGGCGGCTCATTGGAGGATTGCTAGGAGAGAGGGAGCAGGATGGACGAGGGGCACCAGACAGAGGGCTGCTCCCCAGTCCCTGACAGGGGTGCTGGAGGCTAGCAGAGGGTGGGGAGAGCTGGATTGGGGTGTCTTTTGAAGGCAGGGCCAACAGGATGTGGGTGGTGAGGCTTTCAAAGAGAAATCAAAGATGATGCTTGGGTTTTTCAGCTGAACAGCTGGGTAAGTGTTAGTGCCAGTCACTGAAATGAGGATTATTGGTGGGGAGCCAGAAGGTTTTGTAGATTTGTTTTTGGTTGTTGGTGGGGAGATGGAAATCAAGATCTAATATCTCTCCAGCTCGAGTGTCCCTCTCCTTTCTGACCTCTCTTCCATTGCAGGAATCGACCACACTCCATTTTCCTTCTTCGCTCCTATGCCTCCCGGTGTCTGTGGCCCTGCACTCTTGGGTTCCGCTCTCCCTCTGTGGCCCCCTCTCTGCCTGCCTGCCACAGCAGTGTCTTCATTCTTGTCCCCCACTTACAACTCTCCCTGACCACTGTCACCACTTCTGTGGCTCCAGCCCGAGCAACTCTGATGCTTCCTAGGGTCTCCCTTCCCTGAGCATCAGTGCTTTACATCTACCTCCAGAGGGCCTGTCACCAGATGTCCCACTGTTATCCTTGGGGCAGAATGTCCCTCAATGAACCCATTGCCTTCTCCCCAAGCCTTTCTCTGGCTGTGTTCCCTCTATTGTTTTTTTTTTGTTTTTTTGTTTTTTTGTTTTAATTTTTTTTCAACGTTTATTTATTTTTGGGACAGAGAGAGACTGAGCATGAACGGGGGAGGGGCAGAGAGAGAGGGAGACACAGAATCGGAAACAGGCTCCAGGCTCTGAGCCATCAGCCCAGAGCCCGACGCGGGGCTCGAACTCACGGTCTGTGAGATCGTGACCTGAGCTGAAGTCGGACGCTCAACCGACTGAGCCACCCAGGCGCCCCTCCCGTGATTCATTACTTACATACGACACCCAGTGCTCATCCCAACAAGTGCCCTCCTCAATGCCCACCACCCATTTTCCCCTCTTCCCCACCCCCCCCCCATCAACCCTTAGTTGGTTCTCTGTATTTAAGAATCTCTTATGGTTTGCCTCCCTCCCTCTCTGTTTGTAATATTCTATTGTTAAAAGTCACTATTATTTACTGAGTCACTGAAGATGCAAAATGGAGGCCTTCCTACTTTATTGATTCTAAAACACGCAGTTTCCCCCGCATTTTAGTATCTTACAATCAGAGGCGTCTCACCGTTGCTGTTGGCCAGGCAGCAATTTTGATTTGGGTTTTACTATCTGCACATTTGCAAACTTGGTCGTTATTGCTCATAGCATAAACCCTTGAATTACAGTTTGCATTGTAGGAAGTAAACTATGAGGCTTTCTCTGCTTGTTAGCCTTTTATATTTATTTGAAGAAGTCACCGTGGATGCTCTGTGGGGACTTGTTGAGTTTAATTGCTCTCTAAAATGTCTTGGAAATATTACACTCTTATTCGGCATTGAAATGAAAAGTTATAGTGTATGAGAAAAGGTATGGAAATAGAGAGATGGGACATAAATTAGATATTAATGCAAACGGTCATCATGGAAGGAATAACCAAATTCCACATTTTCTTACAAGGCCACCACAAACCAAGTAGTTTACCCAACCTAAGGAGGGAAGGGCACTACCTAAAAGTAACGTTAACTCCGTTTCTGAGATAATACAGAGAAGGGTTGCCTTCCGACATGGGGCAGTGTCATAGAAGGCAGTGGAAATTGCCAGTGTTTTCTGTTTCTGTTTTTCCTTAGTGGAAAATAAGTCAATGGTGCATTTTATGATCAGTGGAGTCTTAGGTTGAGTGAAATACGAGAACGGAAGATGCTTTGAGCTCCACCTCCAATCAGCTCCCACACCCTGAAGTTTCAACTTTCTCGGCACGTCCTGAATCTGACCACCCCTCCTTACTCCCACTCTACCGCCTTATTTCAGGACTTCATCATCTCTCGCCCGGACTATTATGGTGGCCTCTTAGCAGGTCCCCTCTCCCCCTCCCCCCTGCGTTGTCCACAGAGACGCATCCTCCACACTGCTGCCAGAGACATATCGACTTCAGTGCAATTCTGATCATTCTTCGGCTTCCCACTGCACGCAGGTTAAAGCCCAACTCCTTCATGTTTTGAGAAATTGGGTCGTACCTTCTCTGTATTCCATCCTGCATCTAGGTCTTGCCTGCTGTTTTCCAACCACAAGCCTGCTGACATGTCAGACCGTATAATGGATCCTAGAATGATGCCCCTCCACCACCCTCTTACCCCCTAATCCGTCTCACTCTTGAACTCCTACTCATCTTTTGTGTCCCAATCTAAGGGTCACCTCTTCTATGAAGTCTTCCTTGATTCCCCGCCCCCTCCACCCAGCACTGTTCACCAGGTAGAGCTGACCACTTCCTCCCATACTGCCCCACTGCACCCTTCCTCAGATTTCTAGATGCCCCATACTAGAAAAAGTTAAGTACGTTTCAGTATAGTCATCCAAAGGAATATTATGAATGCACTAAAAAGGATGACATGGGAAGATGATTAATGATAAAGTGAAAAAAGCCAGAGGCAAGTTGTATATACATTCTGATAGCAAAGAAAATGTATACGCGTCCAAAAGACTACATGGAAATATGTAAAAATTTAATAGTAGTTTTCTCTTGGTAATGGGGCTTTGGGTGATGTTTATTCTTTTATGAATCTAGTTTTTAACTGCTCAATTAGCGATTCCTGTCTTCATGAGAAAAAGTATTAAAAACTCTGTTACTACAATTAGAAAACTTACGTAAATCTGTAAAGCAGATTTATGATGCATTTCTATGGCTATTTTTTCATCCCTTTCTTTCTCCTGTGGCAGGTTTTATGGCCGGAAGATGGTGAATATCTTGATGTCGAACACGAAGTTTGATGCATTTCTGAAGCAGAGCCTCCCGTCCCATGACCTGCGGAAGGTCATGGCTGCCATTAAGCAGCGGGTGAGTCGGGGGCATGAGCAGGTCAGGGTGGAGATCAGAGCTGGGCCGGTCAGGGGAGTGTGCACTCCAGAGGCTTCCATTTCACTCACAACCCCTGCTTGGTGGGATAAATGTGATTTCCTTGCTCTGTGCTCGGACCTGGTTGTGCTCCTCTCTGCCTGTGTCCCTTGAGTTGCTGGGCGTCCACACTGTCTCCTGTTAAGTGAGGATCTTGACCCCTGCCCTGACTACCAGGGCTCTGGAAGGCTCAGCTGTTCCCTCCGAAGCTCTGCCAGGTGGAAGGGGTTATTCCTTTCCTTATGGTGTAGCCTGGAGTGGCCGGCAGTTCCCCAGAGGGCCACCCCTTTGGTTCATGTTCTGTGTGCATTTTTCAAGGGAATAGAAGACAGTGATGGACTTCCATCTGCCAAGGGCCGCAAGGTGTCAAGGAGTCTGGTGCTGTGTGAGAACGGGCTGCCCGGCGAGGATGGGTATGGCTGCGCCTGTCTCCCTGCAGCTTTCATCAAAGGCTGACGACACAGACGTCCTGCTTGCCCTGGGCCAGGGTGGCTCTGGGAGTCTGTGTGGATCTGGGCTATGGTGGAGACCTAGTTGGGTCTGCAGCACTCATGGGTGAATTTATAGGAGGTGTTCCCCCACCCAAATCTCAGGGAGACCACATCATGGGACCAGAAGCACTTGCCAGTAGAAGTTGGCCACTGCAGTCTTGCCGAGTGGGGTGCAGTTCCGCTCGTACAGGCGGGGCATGTTGCTGGCCAGGCCCTTAGAGCAGCACACCCTTTTGCCATCAGGGTGCCCAGCCTGGGACAAATTTAGAGGCAGAGCTGGGAGGAAGGTAGATGAGAGGGAATGGGCGGAGAGGCGGAGGGTGGGTAGGTGCTGGGAGGAGCCGAAACCAAGCAGAAACCTCCTGATCACTGATGTGCCTGAAACTCACACTTCTTCTGTGGTGTCAGGGAGGGATCATATCTGAACTCCTTAGCAGGCGCCCCGGAAAGCCTCTGTCACCTCTTTAAGATTAGCTTCCTGCTCTCTCCTACACACAGCCTCTCAGCCAGACAGGAGCAGCTCATGTTCCCTGCCCATCCCCCTTCCCCACCATCCTATCTCCTACTGAGCCTTTCTTTGCTTATGCTGAGCCACCTGCATCTAGAACATGCCTGTTTATTCTACAAGACTCCACAAGATTCAGATCACTGTCACTATCTCCCTGAGGCTCTCTCTGTGCCCTCTGTTCTTCAGTACTCTGTCAGCCGGTTGACCCACCTGTCTCCCATTGGTCTGTGAGCTCCTTAAGGCAAAGGGCGTGTCTTTCACATCCCTCTTCTCGGTGGCCAGTACAGCTCCTGGCACTCAGTGGGCAAACAATGTGGAGTGTAGGACTGAATGACAGAATGGATGGTGTTGGGCTCTTTCAGAGGGGACTTGGGTGCAGGGCATGAGCTCAGAGAGCCGGATTCTGAGCTGGGGTGGGGGATAGGAGTCCTCTTTGGAACTGCTCTCATACTGGCTGCACTGGATCAGGGGATACTATAGCTATGTGCCCTCACAATGATAGAACAGGGAGTCTTAACATTTCCTTGGTCACTGGAGAAGGTCAGGGCCTAGGCAACCAGGGCTCAGGACACAGTCAGCTGGCAAGACCTTTCCTCACTCCTACATTAAATGTGCAGTCATTCTTTCGTGGACTCCCACTTCTCGCTCTGATACCCACCCCCCATTCTTCACATGTTTTCTGAAAAGAGAAAAAAAGGCAGGAAGAGAGAGCCCTGTCCCCTGATGAAAGGATGGGGCTCTAGGCAACCCGATTGTTGTCCCCTGAGGAAAAGGCATTTCCAGAGTTCTGGGGCCAGTGTCCTGAAGCAGCGGGTGGAAAGCTGGGGGTGGACTAAGCTGCAGGTGACACTCCTGTCTCAGTTCCACCTGTCTGGAAGGGGCATGGGACAAGAGGTGCATCCATCTTCTGGGGCTTGCCCAGGTCAGAAGTTCCTTCTTCGTAGGCTTAGTTCCAATGGCCCTCGGCTGGCAGGGCTACGGCCCTCCATGCACAGTGGCCCGGAGGTGGTGGAATGGCTTCGGGAGCTGACGCGACTGCTGGAGGCCAGAGAATACCAGTCTCGGATGGAGGGCGTGGGGCGGCTCCTGGAGCGCTGCAAGGCTGAGCCAGAGCTCATCACCGCCAACCTGGTCCAGGTGAGCGCTGCCCCTTCCCTGCTGTCTCACCTGGCTGTCCCCTGTGGGTGCAAATTCAATTTGGAAAACTCAGGACAGGGTTTGACATTGTGCCAGACCCCTCAGGGTAAAGGGAGCCCGAAAAGTACCTGCTATCCAGTTGCCTTGGTAACACTGTGGGACTGCCTGGAAGTAGCCAAGGGGGCAAGGGCATCACCTCTTGCCAGGCCCCTTGGGACCACCCAGAGATGTCCTGGCATCTCTCATCCCTCTAGCAGCTTTATAGCGGGGTGGTGGAGGGGGGGGGGGGGGGGGGGGCGGGGGGGAAGCTAGAGGTAGAGGATGCCACGGCTGAAGGCTGCTCCTGGTCTAGCCAGGCACATGATGTTTGGGGGCAGAGTATGTGTTGGCCAGGGGACTGGCCATGATGGCTGGACAGGTGGGTTAGGAGCAAGCACAGGCCTTTCACAGGCTGGAAACAGGGGCAGATGTTTGCTTCTTCCAGGACTGAGGCTGCTGATGGTCAAGCCATGTAGCAGAGTACTTAGGGCACAGGCTTGAAGTCAGCAGCCTCGCTGTGTGATCTGGGGAAAGTCAGTGAACCTTTTTCTGCCTCAGTTTTTGTTTTGTTTTTAATAGTAAACTGAGGATGGGAACGCATGCCTCATCGGTTTGGATCGTTCCGTGAGAGTGCAGGGTACCTAACGGGATGCTCTAGATGCTTTGACGCAACGAGTGCTCAATATACAGTTGTTCTTCCCCTCTTCCCCTCCTTCCCTTTTGAGGAAGTAAGCTCCTCGTCACTGAGAATGTTCTGGTGTAGTTTGGATGACCAGGAAGGCAGGAGGAATCCCTGCCAAGGGTGGTTGGTTGGGTTGTGGGCCTCCTGCCCAGCCTGGGTTCCCATGGGCTCTTGGTTTCTGTTTCCTCAATAGGTCTTTGATGCTTTCACCCCAAGGCTTCAGGACTCCAACAAGAAAGTGAACCAGTGGGCCCTGGAGTCCCTTGCCAAGATGATCCCCCTCCTCAAAGCAAGCTTACACCCTATGCTGCTCTCCATCATCATCGCTGTTGCAGACAACCTCAACTCCAAGAACTCGGGGATTTATACCGCTGCCACGGCTGCGCTGGACGCCATGATTGAGAACCTGGGTAAGCCTCCTGCCACAGCCCTGCTTGGCTCCATTATGCAGTGGGCTCGCTCCCTGAGCCCTCCCTGGGGTGGGCTCACCCTTCCTGCTGGGAATCAGCAGAGTGCTAACAGACACTGGGGCTTTCAGGCCAAATGTTTCCCCGGAGGCTATAGAGGACGGGGGTGGACAGCCCAGGACATGGTTGGCAGGCTTTTCCATGTCACAGCCACCTGAGGGTCCTCGATGGTAGGAGTGGAAGAGATGTGGAGATGATCTAGTCTTGCCTCCTCATAGTACATGTGACCGAAATGACTCAGCCAGGGTCACACAGTACTGAAGTGATTGAGCCAACAGGGCATGGAAGGAAAAATAGGTCAGGGTTACCAGGAAGAAGCTGGAAACAGTGTAGAGATGGTAACAGTGGGTGTGGCTTGTACGAGGACCAGGCCGGATGGCGGTGAGAGAGCAGAGCAAGTCTGCTGGGGAGGACAAAGTAGATGGGTGAGTGGACCCAGGTAGGCCACCTTGATTGTCTGATACAGGAGTCAGGCTGGGATCCCACTGGCTTTTGAGCATGGGATGGACAAGCATTGCCTTTGAGAAAGACTGTTCGGGGCCAGGGCTCAGGGAAGGAGGAATTTGGGATGAGGGGTGGAGGGTGACGGGGGAGTGGAGGTGGGGGGTGGGATGAAAAGGAAAAGGGGGGGGGGCAATGGGAGAGACATCAGGGAAGGCAAGAGCTCCTTAAGTCCTATGTGCTTCGCACTAACACATCTTGGTTCTCCAACATCGGGTGGAATCTGGGGGCACATCTGCTTCTGTTCTCCATGCCTTTCGTAGATGATTAGAAGGTGATATTTGGTGTATCTAAGACACAGACTGAAGTGCAGATGTGTGTGTGATGTAGCACATGAGTACAGTCACGTCCAGACCAGAGGAACCAAGGGTTTTCAAACCACTCTTGACTCTATGTGACCAAGCTTATGCTCGGAGAACCACCTTTTTGGCCTTGTTGCTGTATGTCCCGATGAGCACAGAGCAATGTCCTGCCTTGAGAACCCGCAGAGCATCCCCGTGGTGAGGCTGGAAACACCGAAAGGCACCCCTCCCCTCCTGGTGCCCACACCCTATGGGAGCCCAGCTCCCTGGGGCTGGAGAGCAGCTGTGTCCTTGGCTGGAGCTTCCAGAAGCAGTTTCAGTTACAAATCAAAGGCCTGGTCAGGCCCTTCTCTGCCTCTTCAGTTCATAAATACTGTCAATTTCCTCTCTTCATCTCAAAGGGAATTTATGATTTGCTGAGTTTGTTGCTGTAGAACAAACAATATAAATCCAGCTTTAAATTACGGCTAGTTCACAGCGCTGCTCTGGGTAAGTGAGATTGCTGTTGCCAATAACCACGGCTCTTGGTAAATCACTGCAGGCCCTGGATTTATTGGGAAAACCTGCACCAAGCAAAATAGGCTTTAGCTATTTGAAGAGGCTAAGCACCCTTGTCTGCGGAGAGGAGCTTTAACACTTTCCTCTCCAGGTGTTATTGTCTCCACTTTCTGTCCTTGGGCCATCCTCCTGGAGCACACTGGAGCTTTGGAACTCTGGGCTGCAGGATGTGGTGTCTCACATTGTCACAAGGCTCAGGCCTTCTCTACCTGAGGCCCTCCTCTACCCACTTGGGTGGGACACCCTGGAAAGGGGCTGGGAGACGGCTGCTTTTGTGATCTGACCACACCCTGAGGCAGGCTGCAGCTTCCAGGAAAGATGCCTATAGTTGTCCTTTCCTCCTGGGACAGGGTCTCCTTGGAAATGGCTGATGATACCCCCCCCACCCCCCCGCCCCTGCCCCGTCCCATCAGTGAAAGGATCTGATGGGAGGAGAACAGAGGCAGGCATGAAGGGCACTATTTTCCTCTCTAATCCTTAGGTCAGTGTTAGGCTGGAATGGAATGTCGTTGGCCTCAGGGAGTTGGATGGAGTCCAGTAAATCCCTGGCAAAAAGCTTCTGTGGGGCCCAAAGGGGGAAGCACAGGGTCTTGGCTCCCGGTCAGTTTGAGCAGGTGCAGCAGCGGCTCTTGGGGCCATGTGGCTTTGCTGTGAGCCATACTCACAGCCCAATGAGGAGTCTTGGTTTTGGAGGTGTTTTTAACTAGCTGATTTCTATATCCAGAAAGGGCAGAAGTGGATGGGTTTCGATTGCCAGTAAGAATTCACCCCTGCCAGGGAGTACCTAGGGTAGAATCAAGCTCTCTCTGGGAATGGTTCTCATCTGTCTAGAATGGGCTGAGTCTGGCCTGCAGAGGGAAAAATGGATGCAAATAATTAAACTTCCCACTGTCCCAGGGGATTGGGTGGTAGACATAGAGACTGGGGCAGGAGTGGCAGAAGAGAAGGGGTGTAAATCTTCTCTTCCCATGTCACCCAGGTGGAGCCTGGTGGCTCCGATAGACTCTTAGCATCTCAGGGTCCCTTCTGGAAGTAGCTTGGAGCCCTTTGAGCAGAGGGAGCTTTTTTCCCAAGACTGGTGTCACTCCCCACAAGGGATTCTTGGCTCCAGGCTGGAGAGGAACAGCCAAATGCTGTGGAGTACTTAAATGTGTAGAATCACAAAGAAATGACTCAGCAGGTTGTGGTTTGTTTCCCCGATCAACAGGGGGCCAGGAGAACAAGAACACAGTCGGGTAGTCTGCCTTCTGGCGCAAAGTCCAGATGACACAGCCAAACTGGGAGGTTGGCCTTCTTAGGCAACCTTTTAAGGTCCCTCTTGATTCTGGAATTCAGTGATAAGTTGACTCAACAGTCACCACATCTCTTCCGGTTCCTTGGTTTTCCCGTGGGTGTATGGGGCAGGTGGTGCGGTGGTCCACAGAGCAGGTGGGGATTTCTGCCCATGTCCCCTTTTATGGGGGGGGGGGTGAGGAAGGAGACATGTGGGCACCTTGCTCTCTGACCTCTGCCCTTTGTTACTGCTGGAAGGAGCTTGGGGTGGCATCCTTTCTACTCTCCGCCAGGACCTTCTGATTTCAGGGGAGTTATTCTGGGGATCAGGGCAGTTCCTGAGCTGGCTGGCTGGTTCTGTCTTTGGGCCCTGTGACTGGGCTAGCTACAGAAGAAACTTCACTAATTAAAACATCAGGCTGCTGACAGCCACCCCCCTCCCAGTCAGACTGAGCATCAAAAGGAGTTCTGTTGATTAGCGTGGCCCCAGGCCAGTGCTGGAGAGTGCAGATAAGCTGGGAATGGGCAGCTTCAGATCTACTTTTTTGATTTTGCTCTGACTCCGAATTCTTTACCTTATATAATCATATGACCAACATGGTATTGTTAAAGGAATTTAGAAACTCATCCATGGTGCCCCTCTAATATACCAACTGCTTAAAAATCTGTTCTATTTCCTGTCTGCCTGTGTACAGATTTCCCTTGTTAGAGATTGTAAGGTAAACACGATTTAGACTTTGCTTCTTTAACTATCCAGTATTCCATGCTATCATGCAGTGTTCCTACTTAAAAATAAGAAGTTTACTTTCCATCACATAAAAGTCATACTTATTAATTATTGAGAAAATGGAAAATATAAAGCATTTGAAAGGAAAAAACCCTTCACCTTTAGTCTCAATTTCTCAGAAGAGACAGTTATTTAAAAAAAAAAAGTTTAAATTTTATTTTGGGGGCGGAGGGCAGAGAGAGAGGGAGAGAGAATCCCAAGCAGGCTCCACACTATCAGCACAGGGCCTGACATGGGGACTGACGCAGGGCTCAAGCTCATGGTTTGTGACATCCTAACCTGAGCTGAAATCAAGAGTCGGATGCTTAATTGACTGAACCATCCTAGGCACCCCTGGAAGAGACCATTATTAACATTTGGCTTTTTTCATTTTAGATTTTTTTCCTGTGCAGAGTCACGTGCATGACTCTTGTGCAGAGTCACGATCATATTACACATTTAAATTTACATTTACAGCTTAAAAAAAAAAAAAAAGAATCAGAGCGTGAGCATTTGCATATGATTACACACTGGAGTCACTTTTAACAGGTCTGTCACATGCTGGACCACATCTTGTGTTTTTCTGTTTAAATGGATCATTCCCACTTTTGCTGCAATGAACGCACCTAGCTTGGGTGGCTGTGTGGCATGTCATGATTCATGGAGTCCTGTGCTTATTGTTGGGAGTCCAGTTTGACTCCAGTTTCTTTGCTGTCACTGTCTATGCTACCATACTTTTTGTGCTTTAAAAAAAGTTCTCTGGCTCCCCAGTAGCCTGAGGAGGATGTGGCTTGGTACGCTTAGGGCTTAGCTGCATGGGACAGGTGCAAGGCCCCGGAGACCTCCGCCCCCTTGCAGGGAGGGAAGGCGAGGCCCAGGGAGGACGGGGATGTGGCCTGCCAGCCTGTAGCTGTTTTCCCTACGCTGCATGGCTCTGTTTGCTCTTCGTCCAGGCAGTGCCAAGGCCAGCTGTGGCAGCTGTGGCTCCCTTGTGGTGCAGAACAGGAGCCTGTGAAGAGCTCCGGCTAATGGAACACGGATTTTTTTTAAGGGTTTGGAAGTTAGATTCCAGCCTCTTAATGGTCTCTCCACCATTCAGATTGCTGGGCTTTTGGAACATTCTCAGGTAATAAGAGTAACACTAGCAGTAATAGCTGATACTTACGTAGTAATTATATGCCCAGGGCAATATCCTAAGTATCATAACACGACAGTGGCTCTAAGAGGAAGATGTTATCCTCCTTTTATAGATGAATAAACTGAAGTGTAGGAGATTTTGTCCAGTGTTAATATAGAGAAACGTGGAAGAGCCAGGATTCAGTCCAGGCGACCTGAACCCAGAGCTCACACCCTTCACCCTATATTTTCCTGCCTCTCAATAAACCTGGGTGTGACCTGGGTGGTGAGCCATCACTACAAAAGCAAACAGAGGAAGAGAGGCCATCTGCTCGGGGTGTGGTGCTCTGGGGTTTATAAACCAGTTCGGACATGCTTAATGTCTCTGCTTGAACACTTTCTGTGGTCCTAGAGCATTTATTGAGCACCTGTTGTGTGCCAGGCACATGGGAGCATTATCTGTCACAGATGTCTGTCGGATGTGCATTTTCTAGTATCCCCTGAGTTCTTTACCTGTCTCTGGCTCTGGGAGGCCATGTCAGCCACCAGGAGCGGGGAGGTCTGGCTGTGTCCAGAAAATGTCCTGAACTGAGTTTTGTTGGGGGAGAGCAAGGAGGCAGAAGTCCTTGTCCTTGGAGGTGAGCTCATGGTTAAAGGTGGGGGTGGGACAAAGAGAAGCACCTGGAAAAAACAATGTAGACGACATTGATATAAAAACCTATGCTTACACGACTACAGATTGACCAAGTGGCCCTGAGACTGCTTCTCGCTAACTGCAATGTTGTAGAGGTTGGCATCTCTTTTATTTCCCAGAACAAATGATTTAAAGACTTGCCTTATGGATGGAGCTTTTGCGAGCAGCAGGGATATGCGTGATGTTCATGTGTACATCTCCTCCTCTGTACCCCTTCCAGCTCTCAGGAGGGGAGCTAGGAAATGGGAATGAGCTCTTAGCTAGAATTGTCGCCTGACGGGAAAAGCGAAGCTGTGCACATCCAGGGGGATGCCGAGGTATTTAAGGAACTCAGGGAAGGTGGAGCTTGTCTGGAAAGACTTCCTGCGGTGGGTCTCTAATCTCTGTCTCCTGCTAAGAGAAATCTGGCACCTTGAGTGGGTCAGCCCCTAGGATCCCGGGACCTACTTTCTGGGGGCACCTGTGGTGACACCCACACAGACCTCTGTGACAGGTGTAGGCGGGCCCTGCAGCCACACCCCCGAAGAGCATGTTTTGTTGTTTGCACTCCCTCCCATGGGGTTATCCTGGGACTGCCGTGGTTGCACACTGTTGGGAGCTGGGTATATGGGAGCGATGTTAGCACGCCTTTCTCAGGTGAAGGGCTACTTTCCTCACCCTGTGCGTCTTTGTGAGGAGTGCAGGACTTCAAGTTTTAATAGTGTGAGAAACCAGGAGACGTCAGCCAGAATGGGGAAGAATGAGCAGTGTCTACATTCAGCACCTGTGGGATCTTTAGAAATACGTTCAAAGAATGCCAGAGGGCTTCTTTATCCCAAAGCAGCCCCCCTGCAGCTGCCTGTGCTTTCACCATCAGTGGTTCATTCTAATAAACACTCTTTCAACAGCCAGACGGGGAAGTACCCAGTCCTCAGTCCCCACCATGAGTGTGGCTGGGTAGCAGCGAGAGCTGGTTCCAGGGGCTGGGTGTGGGGTGCTGGGATGATTTAAAAAAAAGAAAAAAAAGGTTAAAAAATCCCTCTTTCCCCTAAACCTCCTGAAAAGTGGGTTGGGGCATGTGGAGGATAAACTCTGCTGTCTGTACAAGGATGCCATCTGGGCCTGGGTCTCACACAGGGACGTTATAGATAAACTATTGAGAGCTAATACATGCCCTGCCCCCTGCTGGTCCTCGCACATTCCCTCCTCTGACCCAACCAGAGTAAGCCAGATGCTTCTGCTGCTGATGGGGTGACCAACATCCTGGTTTGCCCGGGACTGGGGCAACCCTCTTTTGCCCCCAAACTCAATTTTAAGGAAGCACAGATAATAGGAACCGTATCTGTGGGAGTCCATGAAGCCTCTTTGGGAGCCAGTGTAACTAACTATGCCAGGTCGTTCACTCTTCCCCAGACACTCCATTGCGACTTGGACATTTAACTCAGCTCCCCAACGGGCCTCTTTCCCTAGGTAGGTGTTGCAGGGACCTGGAACTGAACAGCACTGAACCAGCCACAGCTTCACGGCCACTGACCCTCTCCTTCTCTTTCAGACAAGCTTTGCCTCCTACAAGCGTTTGCTGGGCAGGTGCGCTTCCTGAGTGGCCGTGCAGTGCTTGATGTCACAGAACGTCTGTCCGGTGAGCGTCCCCAAAGCTCCTCACCCTAGCCTTCCAGTCCATCTCTGTTCTTCTCTCCTGGCATGTAGAACCACCCACTATCTTAGACCCCCAAATAATCAATAATCCTCGCAGATCTTTAAAAAAACTTGATAATCTGCTTTTTATAAATAATTCCCACCTTATCCAAAGGTAATCTTCATTTTTGACCACAATGGGGCAGGTTTGTACATAAACAAAATAGCTTTTAAGAAACTATTATGGGGGCACCTGGGTGGCTCGGTTGGTTAAGCATCTGACTTCGGCTCAGGTCATGATCTCACAGCTTGTGGGTTCAAGCCCTGCATCGGGGTCTGTGCTGACAGCTCGGAGCCTGGAGCCTGCTTCAGATTCTGTCTCCCTCTCCCTCTGCCCCTCCCCCACTCTCACTGTGTCTCTCTCAAAAATAAACGTTAAAAAATTAAAAAAGAAAAGAAAATATTATGCATTTCTTCTTTGCAAACAGGACGTCCACTAAGCCATAGGGTACCTTTGTGTGAATCAGAAAAAAACAAAAAACAAAAAAACCACCTCTTCTGGGTAGATCTTGCCTCCCAGCTACATGGCTTGGTCAGCGGCAACACTGTTGTGAGAATTAGCGTTGTCTCTTTTTGGGCACGCACAGGCTGGAAAGCAGAGCACAGGCTAGATTTCAACCCTCCTTGATGCCTGCGCCAGGTGCCTGGGGGCTGCACTACATGGGATTTGGGGCCTTGGCGGGCGTCTGCTCTGCTGTGTTCAAGCTTTGGCCGAGGAGAGCTTTGCTCCCAGGCGGTGTCTTCTTTGAGTCTGCCGTCTCCAGTGATTCCGTTCCAGGTCTGAAACCTCCAGTGACGCGGGAGGAGGCAGCACGGGGAGGACCTAGGCCTTTGTGGTTGTACCGACCTGTTTGCCACGTGCCAATTCTGCTCTTGGGTTTAACTTGGTTTTATAATCTTCCGTGCTTACCAAAAGCCTCCCCTACCTTCTTGGGAAGGAGGCGGGAGGGCTCTGTTCTCCAGACCTCTGAGCGCCCAACCTCTACAATGCAGACAGGCTGTGCTACCCCCGTGCTTGAGTCGTTGTGTGGGTTGTCTTCAGGACAGTGTCGAGGCTCCCTGGAGTGGCCTTCCAGGCTCTCGCCTCCCCCTCCCCCAGTTACATGCACTGGATCATCGAATCCTCCTAACAACCTCGTAAAGAGGCTGTGGGTGCCATGATTATCCCTTCTGTAGAAGTAAGGAAAGTGGAGCTCGGAAAGGTTAAGTGCCCAAGGTCCCTTGGCGAGCAATCTGGGCTTTGTCCCCAGGAGCCTGGCCACAGAGCCTCTGTGCTGTGCTGTGCTGTCTCTCCCTGAGTGCCCTCCCTGAGTGGCACCAGCATGCCACCAGCCTTGCTGGGGCTGATCTCCCATCCTCTGCCCTGTCCTGCCCACATGCAGCTCCCGTCCTGCAGAGAGAGCCCTTCTCCACCCTTCTTCCTCCACCTGGGTGGTGCTGGCATCAACTTCTGTGTCCCCTTCCTCCCTACCCCCCTGCTTGAGTTTCGTGAGCCTCTCAGGAGCATGTCTCCCCCCCCCCCCCACCCCGTGACAGCCTCAGTCCGCACTGGGGGTGCTCAGCACACATTGCCTGGCTGAGGACGTCATTCAACTCCTCCACAGCCCTGTCCTGCTCTTGGCCTTGCCTCTGTGCCCTGGTTCAGCCCTTTTAGTGTCCCTGGAGTGGACCCTTGGCTTCCACCCAGGTGATAGGCCTTCTCCAAGCAAAATAGGGTGGGGGGCTAAATGCAGCCACGGTGTCATGTTGCTGGTGCCCAGGAGCCCCCTAACTGAGACCACCTGGGTGCCAGACAAGGAACCCTTTTCTGTTGCTCAACATCAACATTCTCTGGGTGAAACCCTTACCTGTCCTTGTATGAGTGTTATATTGGCCCCGGAGGTGGATGGCTACCTCACTTTAGATCCTCCATCTGACTGTAAATATTTTCCATCTGTCTCCAAGAGACCTCAAAAGCAAGCGTTTCTACGTAGCTCTCCCGTTAAGTCAGGCCCAGACAGGAACAGAGAAGAAAATTTCAATTGGCACAAGGTGTGGACTAATAATAGCACAGCTTAACAGGAGTAAATCTTTTGCTAATTACTTCAGCTGCCTTTTAAGCTCAAAATTTAGTGGGGTTTTCTTCCCCGTGATGACTCCCAGAAGGGCCATCGCTGCCTCTGCCCGCTTGAGAGGCCCACCACCATCAGCCAGGTGACCTCCACCTTCTGTGCCCGGGGAATGTGGGCCTGACTGCAGAAGTGAGCTTCCTGGGCCCAGCTGTGAAGGCCTCGCTGCTGGGAGGGAGAGAGGTCAGGTGTGAGTGCAGCCTGCCGGGGGCTGCGGCCAAGTGACGCGGGGCAGGTTAGGGGCAGATGAGCCCCTCACCCTTGGGTGGGCACAGGGAAGCCCTACCTGCACCTGGTTCTTGGGATAGCCGTCTCCTCGGTTTGCAGGTGAGATCCTGTGGAGGTCTAAAAAAGACTCTGAGTTATACTTGTTCAGTATAACTTGCCTCCCCCCACCTTAGGGTTGCCCCCGTGGCTTTCCTGTTAACTGTGGCCTCCTTCTCAGTCTGTCTCTGGCTTCGAGGGCTGTCTCCAGCTCCCACCTCTCTGCCCCACTTTATGAGGCTGCTCACCCCCAACGTGGCTGGCTTGAGTCAGTGGGTGCCGTCCTGCCTTGCCTGGGAACGAGGACTGCCTTTCTTTCTGAGGGCTCTGTGACCTTGGGGAACCCCTGAGAGGTCCCACAGTGTGGGGTGCGGGAGCCCTGGGGGTGTGGCCTGAAAGCCAATGTACATGCTCCATGGGAAATGGCATGGCTCAAGTGCCAGGCCGAGCTGAGGGGGCCAGCTCATCCTCTCTGGTCCCCCGTTGTCCGAGGCTTGCTCCGGAGTCAGAGGGGTCCCGTGGGAAATATCCTGGGGGGTCGGATGATGTTAAGCTGGTGAAGGAAGGACAAACTGAGGTTTCACTAAAAATGAAACAAAACACACCAGCCTCTGAAGAACTCCAGGAGGATGGGGACAGTAGGGGGTAAAGAGCATGAGCTGTGGAGTTGAGGCGGGCTTGGCCTTTGCCCTCCGCCCTTGTTAGCCACGTGGCCTTGGGCAGGTTCCTTGACCCCTGAGTGTTGGCTTCCTCCTCTGCAGGATGGGCTGGTGTCCTGCCTCTTGAGGTGCTGTGAGAACAATGGAGTCATGCTGCAAAGCTCTGACCCCCAGACTCAGGACTGAGGCAGTGTTAGGTTTCTGGGTGTGTGTTGGCCCAGGGAACCTTCCAGTTGCTTTGCTCCATAAATAAGTAAAGTGCTTCTCTCGGCGTTGTTTGCCCTCACCAGCCCTTCTCCTCGGCAGGATGACAGGCGGACCGCGCCGTGTAGAGCAAGCATTGTTAGAACCGAGGCACTCAGGGTAATGGTGGCCGTGGCTGACGGCTGGAGCAGTGGCTCTGAAGTGACTTGGGGTAGCTCTTGAGGTGGTCTCGACCCCGGCATTTACTCTGACAGAGGGCTTGCTGGCAGGGGTAGCCTGCTTCTTGGATTTCTGGGGATTAAAAAGGGTAGAGAGGCTGGGATAGCCCGATTTCAGGGGTTCGTCACTGAATCATGGGTCTGTGCAGAGCTTGACGGTTGAAAAGCACGTTCAGGCCTCCCGGATTACTGCTGGTCTTATTGTGAGGTTTGGTGTCCAGACACTGGGGAGGCCACACTGGGCTTATCTCCTGCTGCCTGTTTCATTTTTCAGAATGCTTCATTTGAGAGAATGTTGGTTTTCCTCCCTGGTACAAGTTTTTGTTCGTGTGAAGTCACATAGGTGGGAATGTGGATTAAAGTAACACTAGTCCTAGCTATTCTTTGTCACCTGCCTACCTACCTGGGCACCTCACGTACATGTATTATCTAAGCTCTAACAGTCCTAAGAGTTTGGTTCAGGATGATTATCCTTAGATTAGGGAACAGCCTCAGAACGGTTAGGTGGCTTTCTCAAGTCATACAGCTAGTAAATAGCAGAGGCAGTTTTGCAGTCCGGCCCTGTCTGCCTCTTTCCTCTCCCCTGGGCTGCAGGGACCAGTGATGACTGTCATGGGCTCTGAGCACTTTTGTTTTTACATACTCATTCCTCCATTAGAAAAAAAAAAAAAGTTAAAAATTTTATATTACAACTGATTGGTATAAACATGAATATAAATCAGGCTGGATATCTTCATTTTTTTTTTTCCTCTGGATTTTAAAGAAATAAGAACATTTCCAGGGCCCCTCCACGTGTCCCGAGCCCTAGGTCGTGTGTCTGATGGACTAGTTGGCCCTTCTGGGCTGCCTGCCCTTTGGGGGATAGAACTGGTGTCCCAAGAGAGGGCAGGGAAACACAGAGAGAGAGAGAGAGCAAGCCTGCCTTGAGTAACTCTCCCTCTTTTCTGCCCAACAGTGCTGGTGGCCTCTGTTTACCCCCAGAAGCCCCAGGCCGTGGAGCGTCAGGTCCTTCCGGTCCTCTGGCATTTCCTGAACAACATGACGGGGAACGGTGTCCTGCCTGGGCGTGGCAGGAACGTCCGCGTGGCGGTGTGCCAGCTGTCCAGGGGCCTCCAGGAACAGATGGGCTCCCGGCTGTGGCACCTGGCTGCTGGCCAGCCAAAGCAAGTCCTCAAAATGCTCCAGGAACTCTTAGACACAGAATCCCGGTGAGGCAGCCCCAGCCAACGTCACCGACAGAGGGGTGGCATCTGACAGCAAGACAACTGGCAGCTCGTGCCCCTTTCACCTGGGTTACAAACGGATCTGAAATGGGCAGTCATTAATTTTTATCTTACTTGATTTTTATGATGGAACAGTCTCCCGGCCGACTTTCTCTTAGAGTTCCAGATGCACATAGTATATTTTGAAGTAGGAATAAAGGAATTATTTATTTTTCTAAGGCTTTATTATCGTGTGCTTTTTTAACCTCAGGGAATTTTTCAATAACTAGGCTTGTGACAAAGAAAACAAGACAACAGCAAAATCGGCTGCAGATGACATCGAAACGAAGAGATGGGGAGAAAAAGGGTAGCACAGACCCCTGTGCTGCAGACCCTTTTGGCCACGGCCCCCTATCTGTGACAGACTGGACAAGCCCTCCTGAACCCAGAGACCCTGAGTTGGCCATTTAAACCCAGTCCGTTTGTTATAAGCCTGATTTGAGGTGAGTAGGGCAAACATCTCCAGGGTCATCCTGATTCTGTGGGAGGCTTCCTTTTTGTTTTTTCTTTTTTTAAGTTTATTTATTTTGAGAGAGAGAGAGAGAGAGAGCGAGAGAGAGAGAGAGAGAGAGAGAGAAAGGGTATAAGTGGGGGAGGGGCAGAGAGAGAGGGAAAGAGAGAATCCCAAGCAGGCCCTGCATTGTCAGCACAGAGCCTGATGTGGAGCTCGAACCCATGAACCATGAGATCGTGACCTGAGCCGATATCATCAAGAGTGGGACACTTAACCGACTGAGCCACCCAGGTGCCCCTCTGTGGGAATCTTCTAATAGATCTGTCCAGCTTCTCAAAAGGCAGGGGGAGTTTGACATTTGCATTACTAAAAGCCTTCTCAGCAAGATGGCATTCTGACTAGTTCTGCCGAGGGTCAGATGATGTTTCACACTCCAAATACCATAAATGAAAGCACTTGGCCAAGCATGAAGCTACATGATGTGCAGATGTCGTGTGGGAGCTCTGAAATTACATGGATTCCTCCACTGGGGGCTGGATCGGGAAGCTGGAGGGGTGTGTTGGGTACAGGATGCGCCAGAACACAAGCTGAGAGAAAGTGTTGCCCACTGAGGGAGCAGCCAGGGAAATGGGGTTCCTGCAAGGAGAGAGGGATGTCTGGGGCTGGGGCCCTAGATGCAGTGAGAGTGGCTTTGCCTTGCCTGGGGCCACTGGCAGGTTGGCGATACTGTGACCAGGAGGAATTAGAGCTCAGGTCATTACCTCAAACACACGTATAAGGTGTGAGCTGAAGGGGCAGCATCCCATCCCAGCCAAGGAACCCAGCCAGACCCACAGCAACACTCTGGGCAGATCCAGATGGCTGAGGCCCTGAGGCCCCAGCCTCCTGCCTGCAACTTTTCTGGCAGAACCCCAGAGGTGGACCCCGTCCAGTGTCACCCACCTCAAGGCATAATATCGGTTCTACATCATGGTTCCAAGCCTCTCCCAAGGGGAATGGCCCAGAGCTGGCTGGGCAGCCCTGAATCAACTCACTTATATATTTCCGTGTTCATGGGTATCCCTGAGAAAGCCACTTTTTCATCTTGCCTGTGTGGCCAGATACAGCAAGGCCGGCTCCTACCCCCCCAATGCTCTAGGGTGAGGTTGGGTATGGTACAATCATCCCGGGACTCGCTTTTAATATGTGGCTTAAGTGTGACTTTAAGTAATTCTAGCCCCAGCAGGAGCTGCTTCTCGCTAATTGTGACCCCAGCAGGGGCTTCCCAGCAGCCACTTCCCTGGCTGATTCTGACTGAAGCAGGTTAAAGGCTTGCTGGACAGGGAGTCATGAAAGATGCCCAAGAGGCTGATTTTTAAACATTTTAAAGTTTTACACAATTTAATTAATTGTGTTTGCTTGGAGTCTGAGCAGACTCTTTGGGTTTGGTCGGGAGACTGACATTTTCTGCTTGCCAAGATCCTAGAACCTGTAGGAGCCCAAGGATGTAGAGTCTGGCAGGGACTTTGAAGGCAGAAATTAAGCTCAAAGTCATCTTCCTCTCTTCCCGCTTTGAGGTCCTGTTTTCCAAGGACGTCTTCAAAATGGAAGCCTCCCATTCCCTGTGCTCTGTATCCACCGTCCTGGGTGGAGAGTTTAAAATAACTGAGAACCGCTGAAAAGCAACAAATAACTGCAAGGTTCTACTTTCCTCCACTCAATTTTAACTTTAGATCGAGTCTCTGGGCAGCTGGGCTCTGTGGGCAATGCCCCTGACCCAACCCCACTGGGGACGGCCTGGGTGGTTCTCTCAGGCCTTAGGAAATTTCAGCCTCCAAAGGTTTCCCACATCATTACTCCTTAAATTTTTTTAAATTTCATTTAAAAAATAATTTTTTTAATGTCTATTTATCTTTGAGAGAGAGAGAGAGAGAGGCAGTGGGGAGGGGCAGAGAGAGAGGGAGACACAGAATCTGAAGCAGGCTCCAGGCTCTGAGCTGTCAGCACAGAGCCTGACTTGGGGCTTGAACTCACCAGCCACAGGATCATGACCTGAGCTGAAGTTGGATGCTCAACCAACTGAGCCACCCAGGCACCCCTCCCACATCATTACTTTTAAAACAGGGAAGACAGCATATTAGCCTCGGTCTGTCGGGAGTGCGTGTGAGAAGGAGGCCCTAATGGATGGTCAGTGGTGGGAAATGAACATTGAGAGCCACCCCATTCTTTGCTTGGCTGTATGTGCAGCCAGGAGCCCTACCTCCTGAAGATGTGCTTGGGGTGGGAATATAGCTTCTAGTTATGCAAGGGCCCCTGTCTCCCTCCAGTGTAAGAATTAAGGACTAGACTTGACTTGTATCTGCTTAGGACTTTCTGGGATTTTAGGAAAAGCTGCCTACAGGCCCTGCTTCTCATCTTGTTTTCTCTTCCCTGATTGATGTCAGGATCCCACCCCTAGGGATTTTGATTCACTTGGTATGGGGTGGGGCCCAGGGCACGGTCTTTTCTTTCTTTTTCTCCCCCTCGGCTTTATTAGGATTTAATGGACATATAACATTGCGTGAGTTTAAGGTGTACAATGTGTTGATTTGATACATTTATACATTGCAAAGTGATTACCACCATAGCCTTACCTAACACTTCCATCCCATGGCATAACTACTGTTTCTTTTTTGTGTTGAGATGTATTCTCTTAGCAGCATTCAAGTATATGACACAGAATAAGTAGCTATAATCACCATGCTGTTCATTAGGTCCGGAGAATTTGTTAATCTTACAACTAGAAGTTTGTATGCTTTGATTGGGGGCCCCCCCCCCCCCCACTCCCGGCAGCAACCACATCCTCCTGGGGAGCAGCTGGGCTGGAGAAGCAGTGCCTAAGTGCCTGCTCCCAGCCTGGCTCAGTCCCTCCAGCGAGGACAGCATTGCTCACCAGGTGGGTGTTTCTGAGTCTGAGACCAGTAGGGGTTCCAGTTTGGTCCTTACCATTACTGGGGCTTATTCAGGGAAGTATTATGTCTCCTCCGTGTCTCGTCACCTGGTGTTTCGGTGAAGAAGGCTGTAACATTTGAAGGTTTTGTGTTGTTTTAATCACGGCTTTATAATTACCTCTCCGTGGGTTGACAGCTGTTATTAGCGTCACCTTGGGCTCTCCTTGAGAATCTTGACATCCAGAAAGTGATCCACACCTCTGAGGCTGGTGTCAGAAGCCATTAACTAAACAATAGCTTTAAAAAGTCTCCAGGTTTTGTAAACACAGCCAATCCTGTCCCCCTTCCAAAGGAGGGAAAACAAAAAAAGCTAGATAAATAATTTTCATGGAGGCAATTTGTTTCCCAGGGTCTGTATTTCCTTTCTGTCTCATCCATTGGTTTTTACTACTTTGGGGCACTGGCAATAAAATAGAAGTGCTGTCTGTTAAAGTGCCTTCTGTTCCCTTCGGGGGGTTTCACCTGGAAGCCCACTAACGGGGGCGGGGTGGGGGTTCACAGCAACAGGGAATGAAGATTTAAAAAAAAATTTTTTTTGAAAATGACTTCTCTTTTTTTTTCTTAATTCCGGGACAGTGGTGGGGAGGGACAGGTTGCTGTTGAGGTACGTAGAGGGGACTATTATTTTCTAAAATTCTCTTGGAAATTTTGTTTTGAATTTCTATCCAAGCTAGTTTAAGCGGTATGGCTAAAATTACAGCTGGCCTTTGGCTGGATATGAAAAATAATTTCCTCTTTGTAAATGCTGGAGAAAACTGAGAATTTCTGCCAAAGAAGGTTGTGGCATCTTTTAGAATAATCAAATACTGCTGGCAGTAGGTGTTAGAACCAAGGCTGAGCAGGGGCTGAGGAATGTGTCACTAGCTGGCAGGGTGTCTTAGGAACAAATATTTGATATCCCTCAGCCTTTTTTTTTTTTTTTCTCATTTGTAAAAGGTGTTGAAAAAAAAGACTGGCTTTGTTCATCTCACAGGATTTTTGAAAAATCTAGTAAAACAATGTAGATAATTGTGTTTGGAAAATGTAGAGTGTTACGGACAAAGAAAAGGTATAATTATTATCAACTGTAGCCTCAGCCCAGTAAAACCTGCTGTTCAGGATGCACGGAAGCCATTCCCACCATCTGACTGACAGCTCACCCACCACTCAGCATGGGAATAAATGGGAGATTCTGAAGCTCATTTTTTTTTTTTTTCCATTTGGAATATTTGATATTTGTAGCCATGTTTGCCAGCAAAATGTTTTAAAGACTTTTCACTTTGAGAGACACGGAACGCTACAGAGAAGAACGTCCGTTCTAGCTGCATTTAACTTGGCCGGTTTTAACGTTCTCCGAGAATCAAAGCGCAGATCTGGAAGGGGCGGGCGTGTACTTTCTTTTCTTAATCAGAATCTCCCGGTGTGGGGGTGGCAGAGGTGAACATTACCAGCACCCGGGGTGGAGGGACTGTCAGCTCAGTTCTTCCAGATGGCTCAGAAAGATGGTTTAGAAGTCTTGTCGATGGCAGGGTAAGGAGGCTGGCAATGTTATGGTGGCTTTGCAGATGAAGAAACGGATCCCTAGAAGCCCGGTCACAGGGCTGTGGGATAGAGGCATTGAGTCTCAGGCTTCTGTGTCCCAATTCCAACCATCAGGAGTAGGACCAACTCTGGCTCCCCAGGGTGACTGTCGCATTCACCACACCCCTCCTTTCTCCTCTGTTCACCTTGTTTCTTTGATTCATCCCATCTCAGGTCTCAGACCCACCAGGTTTGCCTTGGGC